ATTTATTTCAAATAATATATAAAAAAATAGTTAAAAGTTTGATCATAATTCATGAAAAAATAATATATAACCAAATACTATAATCGACGTTAAAGGATAAACGATATAAAAAACTTTATAATAATAGAATATGATAATACATTCACAAATAATTTTATTACAAAACAAATCTATAGTAACAACTAATTTTATTACAATTTAAGTCAAGAGTTCAAAATAAAAATAAATTAACAAACCAATCAGATAAATATCAATTAGAGACATATTTATACTCGCAATTAAATGAATTTCAAACCTTTTGTAATCGATTCAGTTCTTTTAATTTAATTTGACTCTTAGAAATAGCGGTGGATTGAGAAAAGGGTCATACCCAAGTTAATGGTTCAGACTTGATATTTGAATAATACTTTATTCTAACAAGGAAAACCTTGTCAATAAGTAGTTAAAAAAAGTATTGGAGCAAACTCATACACAAAAAAACTCATTAACATTGAGGGTAAAATAAACAAATGATAATCGATTACAGAGTGTTACTTTGTTGAGTTTTTCGACTATTAAAAATTACAAAATGACCAATCGATTATATGTGACGTTTTGTTAAAAAAATTGAAAGCAATATGAGTTGGACATTAACATGTTGATTGGATATCATAAAATCATATTTTAATGATGTTTATTGGCACTGTTGTTGCTTTCAAGTATTGATTCGATACATTGACTTAACGACATAATATAAACGAATACTTGATCCAAGAAATACAACTCAAACTGTTTTAAGATCATATTTTATCATATCTCAATCAGTAATTTAACGTCCAACTCAAATTGTTATAACTTTTTTAACAGAAAATTACGAATTTTGAATATATAAATAATCGAGTCGTCATTTTATAACTTTTAATAATCAATAGACTTAACAAAGTAGTGTCTACTTTACCCTAACATTATTTATATCTTGTATTAGAGCATGTTCCATTCCTTACCTCATTAATTATATTTTCTTAATGTTTCCTGGCATATTTTAATTTATAAAGTAATTAAACAAGATACAAGTGGTGTGGGGGTGAGGGACAGCAGATTCCTCCTCTGACAGTAATAATTGGAAGCAACAGTGTGAGAAAGAACTGAAACTTGTCTTTTCTGATTGGCTGATTCCATCCAAATCCAAATAAATTTCCCACCTATTTATATTCTTCACTCCCACTGTCCTCTTCTTCTTCATGTCTTTCACACCATCACCTTCCTCTTCTAGCGCGTGCAATCCAGTCCCACTTCAACTCTCTTTAATAAATGCACCAACAATCAACACTTAATTCTCTTACTCTATCTTCGTTTACTTGATCGACGTGTAATTGAAATGTATCATTTGTTTGTATTCAATTGACAACGTTTTCCATCCCAACGAAACGTTGTTTATCCTCCCAAGTTATGTGTTCTTTCGTAACCATATCAAAAGCTTAGGAGATCGGTCCTTACAATTAAAGGTGTTTATGATAGGTTAATCGTACTATTTAATCTAAACAACCAATTAATTGTTATAAAAATTATTAAATTTTGTTAATTATAACTTAAGTATTAAGAAATGATTAATTGTTATTAACGATTCAGTTACACCTGTTATAATTTTTTTAAACACAACATAACATGAAAGTTTTGAAATTTCACAAACTTTACATACATATGTATTTGTAGAAATCTTATTTATTTGTAGATGCATTCTATTTTTATAGAAATATATATATTATGAGGTATATTTGGGGGGTTTCTTTGCAGTTTAAATTCTTACGTGCGTATTTATATTTTACAATTTAAAATCAAGTATTTTTTCATCTATATTTAATTTAATGTACCCTTATACAAGATAAATGTGATAACTAAAAAAAATATGGAGGAACCATTTTAATTTTTATTTATAATTCAATTATTTTAAAATATATAATTAATTAATTGTAATTTATTAAAGGTTAATCGATGATTAATCATTTATCAAAATTCATAACCGTAACTATAATTGTTAACAGGTACTTTTAGTAATTTGGTTAATCGAAATCATTAAATCTGAACAGTTCGATTAATTAACCTATAAAATATAACAATTACACCAAATAACGATTACTGTTAACGGTAACGAATTAATTTAAACATCCATACTTACAATGCATCTAATGCATAAAATAGCATACACAAGTAGAGGAATGGATTTCAGAGGACTATGTTTGATACCTATTTTTTTTTTCTAATTTAAAAGATATTCAAAATTACAATAAAGATTTACAACTAAAACATAAATTAAATATATAATTGAAATATTTTAAAAAGTTTAAGTAAAATATAGATCACAAAAATCTGACTGCTACGACAAACGAATCACAACAGTATATTAAATTATTGAAATACCACCGATAAAACACAAATAAGAGTCAAGTATCGTAAAACTATCTACGATCTCAAGTTGCATATTCAAATTCAATTTGAGGGTCAAAAGCAGAAAAAATCAGCTAGATAACAAATTAGCACTGTCTTGATCAATCGTGGCGATATTAAATCAAATCATGATAAAAATAAACGACAAACAATTGAAAAAGAAAAAAATATCAAAAGGTAGAAAAAAATATATACAAAAGCAGAAAAATATACTATAAAAATAAAATTATTAAAAAATAAAAAATACAAGATAAAAAAAATCAATAGTGACAATCAACATCAAAATTGATATTGTCATTTAATAATGAAAAATAAGGAAAAAAAGAAAAAAGAAAAAAGACCAATAGCGAATTGGAGAAAATAAAGAAGTAAACGCTAAGATAAGGCTTAATACTTGCCTAAATAATATCTCGGAAAACGTTTTAGTACCTAAAGAGATTTTTGTTAAAAATGTGTCTAAAGTTTTCTCATTTATAATTTTAGATGCATATCGTTATATTTTTTAATAATAAAAATATAATTAAAAAAACTTAGTTTATTTATAAAAAAATCCAAACTTTTAATGAAATTATATAGAAAAAACTCTAAAAAAATTAAAATATCTCATTTCAACTCATGACCAGTTGTCGCTGGTCATCTTTGACCACCATTGTAGCTGAACACTTAAGTTTTGATCAAAAAATCACGGTGGTTCGAATGGTAGTGGCAGTGTGGCTTATGGACGTCGGAGTTGGCCATAATCGACGAAAAATAGTGACAGTGGCTTAAAATTAAATGAACTTTTGAACACTTCTCTACAACAAACGATAATACTGTACGATAAAAGGTTAACGGGATTTGATCGGGTGTCGACGTCGGTATCAATGAAGGTGGAGGTAACGGTTAAAGATTGCCGGCTGGTGACCATGGAAAGGTTGTCGGCTGGTGACCATGGAAAGGTGAAAGGGTAAAGGGGAAAATAGAAGGGGGAGAGGGGAGGACACTGGTTGTTTGAGTTTTTTTTTCTATTAAAAAATATTTTTATTTATTTTTATTTTTTTAAAATAAATTCTCAAAATTAACATAACATGACACGTGTAACTTAACGATCGTTATGGTTCTGACACCTAAAAATAATCCGATGAAAATATTAGACACATATTTTTTAATAAAAATTTCTTTAGACATTAAAATATTTTTCGAAACATAATTTAAACATTTATTTTTTATTAAGTACTAGGATAATGGGAAGGACAATTAAATTTATTATATTATTCCGTTTCCTTGAACGTGAGAGAGAAAAATATTGAACAGTTTTCATAAGTCCAAGCTGCTAAGTTTATTTCTTTCAACTTGAGATTGCATCAAATTATTTATTAAATTTATTATATCAACGTTAATTGTTGAACAATTTAAAATCGTATGGGTATGGATAATAAATAAGGATTATATTATCAATCGTTGACATAAATAATAAAATTAATATATTATAATCCGAGCCGCTCTCCTTAGATTTTTCTTAGTTTTTTTCCTTTTCTTTTTGCACCACTTTCTTTTTTTAATTAACCACGATATTAGTATTAGTATTAATTGTCAATGTTTCTTATTTTTTGTTTATTTTTTTATTATATCTTTATTTTCCTTTTGTTTTTTAGTTTTTAATAATTATGCATTTGTGACACGTTTTCTCTGTCTTTATGACACGTTTTATTTTATCTTTTGACATATTTTCGATCGTTTGATCGTTCTTTTCATTTTTATTTTTTTCTCAGGGTTTGATTGACGACATCTTGACTGATTAATATGGCACTTATTCATTATCTTGATGATATTCACTGCTTTTGGACTCTCAGATTGAATTGAGATACGTGGTTGTTTCGTGAATAACTTTTCACGTCGTTCAACTCTGATATGCGATTTATCAATGATTTTCAGCAGTTTTCATCTCCTTTTGCAATTTATTCGTCGATACATTCAAATCTATTTGTATCTATATTTGTTCGAGTATTTTGGTTGGGTTTTTAATCTTTTCCTTATATAATTCTTGTAATGATATCAAGTGGCTAATTTATTGTGTTAATGATTATAAGAAAATATCTTAATTACGTGTTTAGTTTACTATTACGATAGTAAACATTTATTATAATTTCAAATGTTTTTCTTTTGATAAAAATAGAAGATTATATAAAAAATATTAAACTTCGAGATAGTATTTTTATAACCATCAAACAGTCACTTAGGCTGTAACCCAAATGTTTGATAAATATAAAAGTTTAACGAGTAAAAGTTTATTTAATCATAGTTGGGTGACTTACAAAGGTATTTTACCCAAATGTTTTAGATACAGGCCACATAATATGATGGCTCCATTCTGCACTTCAAAGTCCAAAGTGATTAATCCGAAGAACACCTCGGAACACCCAAATGAGATATAGAAATTAAAGGAAAATCAGCCCTCACTCGCCTAACCTGGCGCGTATTTCATCTATACTTTTATTTCATTTTCGTTTTTTTCCCAGACTTTCTCGAGTCAGTGCCGCTACTCTGATAAAATTGCTTATCTAAGAGGGAAGGGAAGAAAAATCTCTTAACCAAAGAAGAGATAAAATTGTATCGAAAGAACCGTTCCAGTTTGTTTTTAAACCCCGTGCCTGTCTTAGTGTAAATCGTTCGGGTTTGGATGGCTGAGTTGACTCAGGCCGAGGTGTACTCGCCTCGGTCGTTGCAAGTATGGAGAGCGCTTTTGAATTGGCTGACTTTTTTCTATCAGATATTTGCGCAGATCATCAGAGCCGTTGGTCAGTATCCTTTGCCTTCTTCTTCTTCTTCGACAACGACGACTTCGACTTCGACGCACCGTTTCAAGCCCTTGCCTGTGGGTGACTCGACTGCAATCGAGTCTCCCGCTACGGTCGAGATCGCTGCCGTTTTGGACTCACCTGTCCCCACCGATGAAGACCGCGTCAAAAAGCTCACGGTACTTCCCCCCCCCCCAAAAAATTTTTTTCCCGTTTCCCCGTATTATGTTCTACAATTTGTTTCAGAATAAATGACATTATTTTAAGTTTTCCTTAAATAAGATTGTTTTGTAGTAAAAAAAATAGAGATTTTAAATTTTTTAGAAAAAAAAATAGCTTTGTTGAGCTTAATTTGCTTCAGAATAAGCTTCCTTAACTTATTTGAAGATGTAGCTAAGTATTTCATAAAACTAGAACATTGTCATGGACTTAGGCTTATAGTTCTACTTAATTTAACTCATTTAAGCATTATAAAAATAAAAAGGAACTTAAGCAATTAATTTTTTTGGGTTATTACTGTTACTTTGGGAGTTGCAGAAATATAGGAAACATAAAAGCAGACTGGAGTTAACTTGAGTCAATTCAGTTGGGTCCATAAGTTGTAAGTTTATTCGTTTTGCTCGTATATGTCAACTGCCGGACCTGGACGAGTGCCAAATTCGAGCATGAATATGTTGTATACTCAGTGTTTAAAAGGCTTTTTTGTATATTTGGAAGATCATAACATCCATGCCTGAATTTGTTTACATAACTGTTGAGTACCCATGCTTTAGGAAAATAGTCTGATTAACATTACTATATCAGCCAATTTGGAACTGAATCAAATAAATCGGAAGTTAATAACAAAAATTATATCAGGTGTAGGCCTACAACTTATTTAAGTGTCTCTTGTGCCTAATTTTGGGATGTTTAAGTTCTCTAACCCATGAGCGGATAAAGATGCTAACTTTGATTACTTTAAGGTAAGCTATGAAAACAGGTGAAACTGTAAAACAAAATAAAAAATCTTCATCTAAACTTGCTACAATATGAATTGAGCTAATAGCCTGACTCTTTTATATTTCTAGACATAAAAAAATTGTTTTAGTTGAGAACCGAATAATTCAAACTCGATTTATTTAAAGTTCAGGTTAACTAAATAACTTAGAATGTTTGTGTATGTTTCTAAAATTTTATATGCAACTTGTGAATATGTTTAGCTTGCTTAAAATTATATTCACATATGAGAAGTACAACCCTTGGTGGGATAAAGATGCCAACTTCGTTTCCTTTAAGGTAAGGTTTGAAAACAGGTGAAACTGTAAAGCAAAATAAGTAAGATGTATCATGAATATCTTTATTGTTTGTTTGGTGTATATTGTTGCGGAGTTCTAGCTAGGTCTGATTCATGCGCCTGCAGGTAGTTCTTGACTTGGACGAAACTTTAGTAAGTGCATACGAGACATCTAGTCTTCCACCTTCCCTTCGTAATCGAGCAACAGATGCCGGAGTGAAGTGGTTTGAGTTGGAATGTGTATCTTCGGACAAGGTTTGTTATGAATAATAATTGAATCTCTTTTAAATGATGTCAGTTTTCATTTGGATGCTTTGGTTTTTAAAGGAACGTGAAGGGAAGCCTGAGGTCACTTACGTTACGGTGTTTGAGCGCCCGGGCCTGCAAGATTTTCTAAATGAACTAAGTGAATTTGCTGAGCTTGTACTATTTACTGCTGGCCTTGAAGGTTTGCTCATAATTTTACCTTGTTTTATTTTCAACTTATTACCCAATTTTCTTCTTATATTTCTTCCTCTCACTACCCTCTTTCGTGCATTATATCATGACTTTTAATGGCTGCCCACAGGCTATGCTAGACCACTTGTTGACAGAATTGATGCAGAAAATAGATTTAGTCTTCGACTTTATAGGCCTTCTACAATTAGTACGTAAGTATGCTTCCTCCACACGCTGCTTTTATAATTTCTGGCCTATTCTCTCTGATTTGTAAATTAAAATCAATGAAACCTTAGTAATATCATCTGCTTACTAAACATATGTGAATATAATTTCTCTCTGCTTGCTTGTGTATCCTATCTTATGTTAAGTTGACCTTAGTCATGATATTTAAGGGGGACTCCTTTCCCTGGGATATCCATGTATAAGGGGCCAAAACCTGCATGTATAAATTCCTTATCTTTTTTTCCTGCTACCTTTATGTCAGATGACTTCAAATTTCTCGTCAACTTGAATTTCCAAAAAGAAATGTTTTGGTGTTTGCTTGGGATTTTATGAATTTGTTTTAAGATGTGCTAAGGTGCTTTTGGTTAGTGTTTGCACAGAATGAATGAGTCGGTGCTGATGTTAATGCCTTTACGGTTTTGTTTGATAAAGTTCAGGAAAGCATTACCAAGTCGTTTAATTTCCTTTCTAAAATACGAGGGTTATATTTTTTGGCGAAATAAAGGGATTAGTTTAGGTGTCCAAAAACTCCCAACATGCTTTATGCCAAGCTTTTGATGTTTTAGAGTAAATTTGTGCTTCCTTTATGTTGGATGCATAAGCATACATCTTGTTGGTGATTACATGTCAAGTTCCACTGAAGATTTTTTTGTTTTGTTATGGCAATTTTTTTTTTCATTTGACATAAACAGGGAATACCGGGAGCATGTGAAGGACCTCTCCTGCCTATCTACTGATTTATGCCGAACCGTTATTGTTGACAACAATCCTTTTAGTTTCCTCTTGCAACCAGTAAATGGGATTCCCTGCATCCCATTTTCTGCTGGGCAGCCACATGATACACAGGTACCATCTCGATTTGCATTACTCTAAACCTGTTACTCTCATGTGATATCAATTTATACTTATGTCTGTTTACTTACAACTTCGACACCTGGTTTTATGTTGAAAAGCTTCTGGATGTCCTCCTTCCACTTCTCAAGCACCTTTCTCAGCAAAGAGATGTGAGACCAGTTCTGTACGACAGGTTCCGCATGCCCGAATGGTTTCAAAAGCAAGGTATCCCCCCTTCTAGTTGGTCAGTGTAGGGAAAAGATCATAGGCACGCCTTTGCTTCTTCTCGGTACTTTTTGTGCAAACCTCTATCATCCAAAGGCGGCAACCTTTTATGTTATTCATGGCCTTTGTATAGCATCCGAATTCTAGAGGTGCCACTGGAGACCTGGAAAACGATGAATGTGATGTTATCGCTTATTTGATTAGGTAAAACCTCTATGTATATAGATGAAGATGTGCTAAAAAATATTTATTCTTATTGTAACTTTGTTTACAAGCTTTGCGATTCTGTTGGGTGTTTATGTAACTTTGGGAATTTTGTAAATTTGTTCTCAATCAATGATATTATTTGTATCCTGTAACTTGAAATTGTCCCTTTCTTTACTGACTTTACATTAAAGAACATTTCCAGCCCCTGCCCATCACCAAATATGCATAAACTTTTCAATTATATACTCCATCAAACTTTAATATATATCTGAAATAAAATCCAAGAGGATTCTGATACCGTGACAGCTCTCACCAACACAACTTAACAATGGCAACAGGGACGGATTGAAGAAGTAGGGGCAGTCGTCCTCTAAAATTTTTAAATTTATATATATTTTAGATTTTTTTTTATTAAAAATCTATTTTCGACCTCTTCAAATTCTATAAATTCATCTTCTAACATAAAATATCCTGTCCATCCTTAAATGGCCACATGAAAGGCTTGTTTGGTTTGTTTTGTTTTGTTTTGTTTAACTCTTTCAGTTGATAATATTTCTTTGCAAATCGTATGCTATTTGATTGGGAATTTCCAGCTTTCCCTGTCGTAAAAGCATCATAACATACATATATACAAAGACAAGAAGCAGCAGCGTCTCTTTTTCCTTATTCTCTTCCCACTTCCTTTTTCTCCCTTGTTTATTTCCATTACAAAGGGTCGACCCTGTAAAGACAGAATCCTAGCGCTTGAGTTCATATTTCCGAGTTTCAATCTTCCCTTTTTTTTTCCCAACACGACAGAACGTGACGAAGCTGTAATGAAATGGATTCGGAACATCTCACATGCTCATGCAGTAGGTGAGTCAGGTCGCCGATCACATACACGTGGGATCCAACCCTTAAAAGACAATGTCACTCGTGACAACAGTCGAGAATGCAACACATGGCACTCGATAACTCGTGGAAGCAAATATAATTAACTCAAAGATACGAAGTCTTGTTGTTTAATTGGATAGGACCCGAAGCCACCAAATTAGCTTTGACCTGCACTGCAATTGTTTGCAGTGTAAAGAATGAATTAAGTGGAAGGTGAATGCTTGTTTGGAATTTATTACCAAAAACCAATGTTGTAAGCTTAATGAAATAAGTATGATTACCTTTCAAGAGGGTTAGGGGGCCCTATATTATCAATTGCTCACTGCATTTGGCTACCTTCTTTCATACTCAATAATAATGTTATGCTTTTTGGTCAACTTTTATTCGTCATCATGGAAATGCCTCTTCAACTCTCAATTTCTTCCCTTCTTTCCATTTATAAACAATAAATTACCTTTTTCATAATGTTATATATATATATATATATATATATATATATATATATATATATTTGTGTGTGAGTGTATATGAATAATTAATCATAATAATGACTTAAATAATACTTTTATGTCTCTCATCACTAAACTTATATGCAAAATAGAATCTTGATTTATCATTTGTGGGTAGGTAAGTACCGAATAAAATTTCATAGTGTTTTTTTATATATTTTTATTATCGATCGCTAACATTCTTTATCTTCTCCTTATTTTTCTTCCCTTCCACTCCTTTCTATCCGTGTCTCATTTTTCTGTTTTTGTTTCCCGACGACATAATTGATATGAAATCTAAAACTAAGATTATCGTCAATAATAAAAATAAATTAAATATTAGATATACAAATACATAGGAGTCCATTGATACGTTGAAATCCTTTAAATCTTTCTTATTTTTGATATTATAAGAATATACGTTTTCTCTTGTCGTAAAACTCAAACTTCCTAATGAGATAGAGAAATTAATTTATTTTATGGGACCACTATCTCTTTATATATTCAATATTGAATTGTTTTTAAATATTTATAATTTTATGAAAATTAAAATTATAAATATAATTTGTGATATATATACTGCTTGTATCTATTGTCCTCTTTTCATGGTTTTCAAAATCAGACCGATCAGCGAACCGGCCGTGCTAATGGTTCAATCGGTAGAATCGGTTAAACCGGTCGAAAGAATCGAACGACGTCATAATTATTTAAAAAATTAAATAAAAATACAAAAAACATTTAATAAAAAAACTAAAAACATCCCCACAACTATAATACTTAAATACAACACCAAAATTCCATCATTCATTACTTGATTTACTTCTAATAAAAATCTCCAAACATTACACATTAAAACCAAAACAAAAGTTGATTAACCTTCAAAAATAAAAATTTTAACTTTTTTAATTTTTTATTGATGGCCGATTGTTAGTGGTTCCGGTCCGGTTCGAACGATTCATAGCCGGTTCAGCGGTTCCTTACGGTTCACTAATAACGGTTTAACCGGATTAGAATGAATCGGATCTGACAGCGATTTCCGGTTGAACCGACCGATCCGGTCCTGTTTTCAAAACATGGCCTCTTTCACTCTTGCTTCGAGCTCTTCATTATCTTCAAAGATTCGTTAGTGACTAAGACTCCTTTTCTTCGTATGAAAGAAAACAAAGCCTTATCCGTTGAAACCCTCTTCAACATCAAACTTGTTAGCTCACCTGATAAAGATCCTACGCTTACTTTGACAAAAGGCTGGCTACTTGTCTTCGCCGTCGTTTTCTTTCCTGATATGTTTTTGGTTGACTGATCATTTTTCGAGCAGTTGTTGTCTTAACACAACATGTTTCATGTGGGCTTATGCTATTTTATCAATGTAATAATCCTACGTTGACTAAAACAGAAAAGAAAAGAAATGGTGCTCAATATGAAAGCTGACCATAATTTTGTTCTCCAAAAGTCCCCATGTTTCACGTCAAATCATCAAAACTTCAATTTTGTGTGTAGAAATCATGACATCTTGTCCACGAGGAAAGCTAAGTGGATTAACTTAATTATTATCTAACCTCGAAAAAACACTTATCATTATATATAAATACCATAAATGAACATTTTAAAAACGACATTATCTTTAACCTATTAAATAGTCTTAATGAATAATAAATACTTTAAATAAATATTATGGTATCTTTTAATTATTTAGATTATTAAAACAAAAAACAACATATTCTCCTCTCCCGATTTTTGCTATTGCTTCTACTTTGACATTCATATACATTTCAATTTTGTAACATGTTCGATTTTTATGTAATGATCTTTTAGTTTTTATTTAACAATATAAATATATATATTCTAAAAGAAAAAATATGAAAAATAAAACATCTTTATAATACTATTAATTATAAAAATAATTTTTAGTATTTTTTATTAAGTTATAAATCAATTTATGGATTAAATTTTAAATAATAATATAATTACTGTTGAGAGCGAGGGTTATATTAATTATTATATCAATGATAGGCGTGCTTTATTTTTAAAGGAATAGTCTGTTCGATTATTTTGGGTCTAAACTATATTTTTCATGAGAAATATTCTCAGTGTAAAAGCCAAGAACAAGTAAATCAACTTGGTTGTATTTTTTCTTCAACCTCCAAATATATTTTATATTTTTTTCTGTTGAAAATTTGTTTTCGTCATTCTTAGAGTTTTATAAATTTAAGTTTACTCGTAAAATTTTATAAATTCAAGTTCATCATCTAACATAAAATCATACGTTCATCCTTACTTTTAATCATAATTTGCTTCTAATCATGACTTGTGTAACTTAACGGCGATTGTGATTATATCTGAATTTTTTTATAAAATTTGAATTTAAAAATTTATTTATTAAATATTAAAACTCTTTACGATAAATACTCATAAAGCTATATCTAACTGCTAAATATTCATCTGCGTTCATTACTAGGAAAGAAAAAGAATGCGAAAACAGAAACAAATGTCAACTAATGACACTTCTCCTTCCGATAAAAACATGGAAACTCAAATCCTCGTTTTCGTTCTTCAACATCAATCATAATCAAATATCATTAGAGAACAATTAACTTTTTTTCTAGAAAAAATTACTATTCTAGAAATTAATAAGTTATTTATTAATATTTTTTTTCTAGTTTGGTAGTAATATTTATTTGTATATATATATATATATATATATATATATATATCAAAATAGATTTTTGCAATTTTAAGTTTTGTTAAATTTCAAGTTGCTTGCTTTTAAGTTTGTTGTTAACTTTTTGATGATTTCCATTTATGTTGGGTTTCTTTTTTCTCAAATTTTATTATGATTTTTAAATAAATTATCAGATGGATTTTAATAAAAAATTTCCTAAAGAAAAATAAAATAAAAGATCTTTACTTATTCTAATAGAATCTTAAATTAATTAAAAAATCGGCAGTTATATTTTCATTAATTTAATTTCGCCTGGTCCCAAACACGGCCTTGTTCCCTAAAACGCTCTAAAAACCTGAAAGTCCCAACCTTTTCAAACTATTTCCTTTCTTCTCTCTCGCCAAATGAAGCTGACGGACGGAACAGCCACCCTTTCCGCCGTCAAGCTCGACCTTTTTTAAATGAAGAAACTATATTTTCTTTTTCTTTCAGCCGTTAGTTTCTATACCATTGTCTTCTTCCCGCTGTTAATCCATGCTTTGGGTTCTGGATCAACGTTCGCCATCGCCTACGCCACCGCCACCGTATGCGCCATCGTTGCCGCCGAGCCGGATCAACGCATTATTTGCTACCGCGCCGGAGACCCTTCCTCCATCGCCGTCTCCATCCTCCCTAACGTCTCTTACTCCACCGTCGCCGGTGGCCAAACAAGCATTTGTGCCCTCCGTTCCGGTGGTTACGCCCTCCTCTGCTGGGAAACAAACTCTCCAAAATTTCCCGCCAAACGCCTGTACTATAACAACACCGTTTTGCTACAATCCCTCTCGATCGGCAGCGGGAAGATTTGCGCGACGACTAATACGACGCCATCTGTGTCCTGCTGGAGACCCCTCGGAAATGACATAAATAGCACCAATGAGCTACCTTCCGGTAATTACACCATGGGTAAAATTGCGTCCGGGTTTGGGTTTTCATGTGGGATTGTTTTGAGTGAGAATAATAGGGTGACTTGTTGGGGACGTAACTCAGTAGGGAAAGACATTGAAAAACAATTTGGGAACTTATCAGTTTCGAATATCGAAGCTGGGTTTTCCCATGTTTGTGGAGTAAACTCAGTTGGAGATTTAGTCTGTAAAGGAGATAACTCAAAGGGTCAATTAAACGTTCCTTCAAACAAAGGTTTAAACTTTGCTTCTGGGTTGGCTCTTGGGGAAGGTTTTAGTTGTGCAATAAGGAGATCGAATGGCACAGTTGTTTGTTGGGGTTCCTTAAACGAGACTGCTGTTGAAGGAATCGAGTTGGAATCCATTGTTTCAGGTTTAAATTTTACGTGTGGATTAACCACTAGGAATTTTTCAATCGTTTGTTGGGGTCCAGGGTGGCCTGAGAACAATGCTTCTGCAAATGAGTTACCTTTGGGAGCTGTGATTTTACCAGGGCCTTGCGTTCAATCTTCTTGTAACGAGTGTGGATTATATCCTCAATCAAGTAGGCTTTGTTTTGGCACTGGTAACATTTGTAAACCTTCACCTTGTTTCAATTTTTCCTCTCCATTGCCGCCATTACCGCCGCCGGCTCCACCTCCGGATGTTTTGAAACAGTCCTCTCCCTTCAGGGGAAGATTATTAGCTTTTGTAATAGTTGGATCAGTAGGAGTTTTTATGGGGATTTGTGGTATTATTTACTGTCTATGGACTGGGATTTGTTGTGGGAGAAAGAAAGTTCATAACTCAGTCCAGCCAACAATCACTAGAATTGGTTCCAATGGTGGTCCAGGATCAAACAACAGTCCTTCGTCGAGGTCATTTTCGATCCGACGCCATAGCTCAGGAGCAATGAAGCGACAGAGAAGTGGGACATCATCCAAACATGCCGATAGAGCAGAGGAATTCAGCTTGGCCGAGCTTGTTGCTGCAACCAACGATTTCTCACCAGAGAACAAGATCGGTGCCGGGAGCTTTGGGATTGTTTGCAAAGGGAAGTTGTGGGATGGCCGTGAGGTGGCCATTAAAAGAGGCGAAATAGGTCAAAAAACCAAGAAATTCCAAGAGAAAGAGACGGCTTTCGAATCAGAATTGGCATTTTTGTCCCGGCTTCATCATAAGCATTTGGTCAGGCTTGTTGGGTATTGTGAAGAAAAGGATGAAAGGCTTCTGGTTTATGAATACATGAAGAATGGTGCAGTTTACGATCATTTGCACGATACGAACAACGTCGAGAAAAGCAGTAGTTTGATTAATTCATGGAAAATGAGGATCAGAGTTGCATTGGATGCGGCCCGGGGAATCGAATATCTTCACAATTATGCAGTTCCACCCATTATCCATAGGGACATAAAGTCTTCCAACATATTACTCGATACGAATTGGACAGCAAGAGTTTCGGATTTTGGACTTTCCTTGATGGATCCAGAATCCAACCAAGATTACAGGCCGATGAGGGCAGCCGGAACGGTCGGTTATATCGACCCCGAGTACTATGGCTTAAATGTATTAACAACAAAGAGCGATGTCTATGGACTCGGAGTTGTAATGCTAGAACTTCTTACAGGGAAAAGAGCTATATTCAAGAATGATGAAAGTGGTGGTATCCCAATAACCCTGGTGGATTTTGCAGTGCCTGCAATAATTGCAGGTGAAATGGTTAAGGTATTGGACCCAAGGGTTGGACCACCAGAGCTTAATGAAGCTGAAGCAGTGGAGCTTATGGCATACACAGCAATGCATTGTGTGAATTCAGAAAGCAAAGAAAGGCCAATAATTGGCGACATTGTTTCTAATTTGGAGAGGGCATTGAATGTATGTGATGGCAGCCATGGAAGCATCTCTAGTGGTGCATATTCATTTGTTTCAGACTGAAATCCCCCCCCCCCAAAAAAAATTATTTTTTCTATCAATAATTTATCTAGAAAGATGCTTCATTTTTTAGTAAGATCAAATGATTTTTAGTCTTGCTATTAATTCTGGGTTTGGAATTGGGAGTTTCATATGAAGGAAATTGACTTCAAATTCTGGGGAAAATTTATTTGGATTCCACCAGGGATACAATTTTGAAAAAAAAATGGTTGAATGATGGCGGTGCCCTACCTCTTCTTTTGCCCATATTTTATTAGTCGGTGCAAAGTGGGTGCAGAATGAAGGGAAAAAAAGGTGCGGTGAAAAGCATGAAGCTTCATTATTATCATCTCTGCCTATTGATGAAAACACAACTCATTCCGCCATGTTTTGTCAATGGAACTCTCTCTCCAGAATTTCTAGTTGCGCAAATCCCATTAAACAAGCAATAAAAAAATACATTTTTTGGATTGGATATGAGTTTTTGTTCTCTTAAAGATATTGGAAATTTTTATGATTCTGTGACAAGATTTTTTAGATTTGTCATTACCGTTTACCAACCTCTAAAACCAATCTTGAAAACTCCTCAATCCTTGTTCCCTTAATAACCACAAAATCAAAGAGAAGATGTTTACCGGAAACCGCTTATGATGGAAACAAGTTTGCAATGGAAAGAAAATATTGATGTTTTTGGAGCCAAGCGTGTGCCAAAACCATCACTTTAGTACGTGAAGATCCATCAATTTCAATTCCAACGAAAATCAGGCCGTGATGTTAGATTTCCCAAGCAATGGAGCCACCCAAATGACAACACATGCGTGCGAGGAATTGTATACTTTTAGACAAAATGACGTCATTGATTAGACTGATCGGATTGTTTATGGTGCTACTAATGGAGCATCACACCTCAAATATGATGCGTACAAAGTAAACATTAAATCCGATTATATTATCTTATAATAATCTTATATTGGACTCGTATAACATCAGCCAAAATCCTTTGAAAACTTTAGTGTTAGCTATTTCATCCAATGAGCAAAATAAAAAGAAAACTTCATATTTTTTGGTTGCGAAAATGCAGAATTCGTATCTTATAATCAAATTATGGAAAAAAGCTGAGTATAAAAATGTGTTGATTATGAACGAAAGTTAGCTTGAAACCGTGTGTGTGTTCGCGCGTGCCTATGTATATTGCACAGTATTGAATTGAAGTCTTGATAGCTTTGCTGGAAGCAACCATAGTACTCAAATGTTATAGCTCAGTCTTTCCTATAAATTTCATCTATAGAACTTCATCATCCTTCCATTTCCATGGGATTTGGAGATGATGATCTTTAAGAGAACTCAGAACTCTAGTCCCATTGAATCGCTCGGTGAGACGTCCATTCGGATGGATTCAACGTGGTTTTCCCATCAGAAGCAACGAGATCATAAGGTGAATCATCTGCGAATTCAGTCGGCATTGATTTCCAGAGCAGAGATGGCTTCCACTCTGCTTCTTTCAGTACTTTTAGATTCTCCGCCACCACTATTGTGCTTCCCTCAGCTGATAGATGAATTCCATCTCTGATGAAAAGCATAAACTCAATAGTTCAGTTTCGAGATAAACTTCATTACAATTAGTTGACTGCAAAATAACAGAAACAAGCCAACTCCCTCTACACTATAATTACAGTTTGATTCATGTTCAAGCACCATAAACTTCAAGTACAATGGCAAAAGGATTTTGGTTTAGCCGTTCACAAAAATATAGTGAATAAGGAAAATATGATTGCGTCAGACAAAAAGAAGAAGATAATATTAAATTGTAGAAAGGAAAACTTACGTGAAGCAAGTTTTCCAATCATCTCTTTGTCGAAATGCAGTGAAAAGATCGATCGCCTTTACATCCAATCTGGCAGAGCTTTATACAGGCTTCAGAATAAGCCCGGCATAACTTATTTGTTCGAACAAAGTGGCATAGATATTGACTGATTTACCGAAGGAATGACTTAGCTTGACTATTTGCGATATAAGATATTGGGGGGGGGGGAGCATAGAAAACATGCATTACATCACCTTCTGTCTTTATCTATTCTTTCTTCATCAACGGGAGGACAAGTAAGAAATATGAAGCGTGTTGAATCTGAAAGGCTCTGGTCTAGGGAAAAGAAGAAAAGCATAGAATGAGCATTCCATGTTACTATCATACAGTGAAAAAAACCTGCCATGTTGCGCTTAATCCTGCTACTTAACAAACACAAGCAAACAAAGAACTGAAATTTCGAATCACTCGCACGAAACCATTTTCTCATTGTCAGTTTGATCCAGCAATTGAGTTTGTATCTTTTGTTCATGAATACATGTTGGAACGTTTCTTAGGCTCCATTTCATGATCTAAAGCTCTAAATTTTATCATATAAATAACTGATAAGTTCATGCTAGCAAGCTTCAAGCTTTCAGCCCATATATTGCAAGTATTGCTTTAGCACTCGTGGATCAGACCGATTCTCTTAAATTCTACAATGATGCATCAACCTCAACTGAGAATGATGTTGAGATTTGAGAAAATACCTTGAGATGAACTGCTATTTTCCTCATGTTGTTGATAAATTCGGGAAGAAAAAAAAAATGAGGGCCAAGGCCAGATGGATGAGGTCCCATCGATTCATTACCTCCGAAATAAGTTATTATCAATGAAGGTGGATTAGAATCGTCCTGTAACGTACAAATGAACAGAACCACAGTGTTAAATTCAAATCACTTTGAAAAGATAATACCTTACAAATCTGAACTGAATAGAAAAAGGGTTCCCCTACTACTTTAGTTTACTATTTTCCAAAACTCAAAATACATATCAAAGGAATCAATTCTTATAATAAGAAAGCAGCATCCTTATCTTTCCCAAATTTGGGAGTGTTTTCCAATACACGGCTGTTCCATAAGCATCAATCACAACTTTGACAAGTTCGAAGCAGTGACTATCAAAACTTTAATACCTTTGGAAAAACACATCAAGCACGCCGTGAATTTCATCCGTTATATCCTCGTAAAAGTACGTTGGCCTGCGGAAGAATATAAAATCAAGCATGATTCTCATAGAATACAAACGACAGTAGTAAAATTAGAGAAGAATCGTCAGGGTGCAGTAACTGGCATAAGTACACACACCCAGTACTAGCAACAAATTCATGTCTCAGTGCAAATAGTTGAATAGTTAAAAAGTTCAACTGTTATTTTCTGTTTTGATCTGCTCGGGATCAAATAATTTGAGTGCTGAAGTTAAGGAACACAATTACCGTCATAAATTTTGTAATTTTACTGACAATCCAGAATTACCCTCCACTTATTCATCCAAATTTGCAGAACTGCTAATTATATTGTATTAAAACTAATAAAAGAACATTCATTAACCACAATAAATTCCTTCACATGAAGAAAGAAGGGAAAAGAAACTTAGATTCTCTTTTCTATCGTAACATTCAATAATCTGATTACTAAACAAGGGAACACATTCACAAAAGTAAACACACCGGATCACTCCTCAAAAGGGGTGAAAAATAAAAGATGTACTTTAGAATCAAAAGAACCCAGATTATGGTGGGCAATGTGGTATTGTGAAATGGCGCACGATAAGGTTTCTCTCTAGGCGCATATTAGCAAGGCTAATGAATCCAGAAATCCTTGATCGTGCCTCCGGCGTTCTAATCTCCCTTTCACTGCGTTCTCAGGCTGATTTATTTTCCTCTGTCTTCTATTGTTTCTCTGTTTGTTTCTCTCCTTATGTCTATGGATTGGAGAAATTTTTTTGGCTCTTATGAGGGACACGAACTGGATTATCATCCACCTAGGGTTCATGAAGGGGTTGTATCTATTCATCCTCCTCCTGAGGTCCTTGATGCTGGAATTAAAGAATGGAAGCTCTCGATTGTTGGCCAGTTTCTCGGTGCTGCCCCTAACTTTTCTACAATGCAACGCATCGTTGGAAATCTATGGAAGAGGGCTATCGGAGGCAGCAATGTCCAGGTCAGTTTTGCTGGGAATAATCTTTATGTCTTTTCCTTTGAAACTGAATCAAGTAGAGATTGGGTTCTGGAAAATGGACCCTGGCATATTCTAAACAAACCCTTAATCCTTCGAAAATGGGAGCCCAACTTGGAAAGACTGCAATTTGACTTATCTTGAATTCCAGTATGGGTTCATTTATTTAATGTTCCTCTTGAACTGTTCTCAAGAACCGGATTGAGTTATATAGCTAGTGCTATAGGTAATCCTCTGTCTATGGACTCGGTCACTGCTGAAAAATCTCATCTGGAATATGCAAAAGTTTGTATTGAGATAGGGGTTAATCAAGTTATACCTAAATTTGTTGATGTTCAACTTAAAGATGATAAATCTATTTCAGTTTTGGTTGATGTTCCTTGGCTACTTTCTAGCTGTAGAAAATGTAGTCTCTTTGGCCATAGTGACAAGAACTGCAATTCCTTAAAAAATCAACCTCATGTTAAACAGTTAGTCTGGAAAAAGAAGGAAACTCATAATTCTACTCAACAGACTGAACCTACTGTAGGAGGCATAGAGCTTTTGCAAGATTCTGATCCCATTCATCCTTCCGCTATTGATGATTCTTCTAAAGCTACTGTCAGCACTGTGATTGAGGCAATTGAAACTGTTGAGAATTCTTTGGACAATTATAGTAAACCTGTTACTGTTATTTGTATTCCTAATGAAGAAAAAGGTTTAGAGCTAACTAAAACTATTGATGATCCTGCTGAAGTCTTATCTTCTTCTCAACCTCCTAACATTAAGAGAGGTAGGGGTAGACCTATTAAAGCAAAACAATCTCTTTCTGAATCAAAAAACAGATTTGATGTTTTAAGTGCTATGGATGAATCCTCTACTGCTCTTGAAGGCCAACAGAGAAAATTTAGATCTGCCTCCTTAGGAGTTTCGAATATTGTCAATGAGCTAAAGCAGAAAAAGAAAGATAAGATTGTTAATGCAAAAAATACTGAGGGTGATGGTAGTAGAGGTGCTTCTGTTTCTTCCTCTAAATGATCTGTGCTTTTTGGAACATCAGAGGACTCAATTGTCTTAATAAACAAGTTAGTGTAATTAGTAGAGCTAATTTGAATAAAATAAATGTTCTCTGCTTGCTTGAAACTAGAGTTAAACCTGAAAAATCCTTGAAAATCCTCTCTAGTAAATTTACAAACTGGAATGCCTTCACCAATTATGATTTTGCTATCAATGGACGTATTTGGATCTTATGGAGAAAGGGTCTTGACTTTTCCTTCTGTATTGCATCTAGTCAATGTTTAACTATCAAAGGCCTTCACTCTGGTTCTCCTTTCATAATTACTGTTGTTTATGGCAGCAATGATGGTAGAGAAAGAAGATTACTTTGGCAGCAACTAAGAGACTTAGATAGATCCTAAGGCCATTATCCTTGGATCACAGGGGGTGACTTCAATATAATCTTGAACTCCAATGAATCTTCTGATTTTGATATGCTTGGTCTTTCATCTTCCTCAGACATGAGAGATTTTCAAGATGCGCTTTCTGATATTGACCTTTTTGATCATCCTTATTTTGGCCCAACCTTTTCCTGGAGTAACAAACAACAAAATACTTTCTTAGCTAGGAAGCTTGATAGGGTCCTTATTAATCAGAACTGGATCAATTCTTTCAATTCTTCCCATGTTGAGTTCCTTGCTCCAGGCATATATGACCACTGTATGGCTCTTCTTTGGACTTATAAAGAGGTACAAGCTAATCGACCCAAACCCTTTAAGTTCTTCAACTTTTGGGCTTTGCATCCTAACTTTATGGATACTGTCAATCATTCTTGGAATCTTTCTACTAAAGGTAACCCTATGCAGATTCTCTTCTCTAAACTTAAGCGCCTTAAGAATCACCTCAAAGGCCTTAATAACTCCTTCTACAGTGACCTCTCAATGAGGGTTAAACTTAAAAAAGCTGAACTTGAGTATCAACAACTCAAAACTCTCAAGGGTGAGGTTGATTTTGATTTGGAAATCCCTCTCCAAAAAGAGCTTAATTTTCTTGAGGAATCTGAATCTATGTTACTCAGGCAAAAAGCCAAAGTTCAGTGGCTCAAAGATGGAGACAAATGTACTAAATTCTTCCACTCAACTGTTGCTATAAAACACAAAAGAGAAACCAGTAGACAGCTGATTGATGATAAAGGGAATAGACTTGAAAATTTTGATGATATGTCCTTTGAGGTAATTAAATTCTTCACAAATTTGTTGGGCACTTCAAACCCTATGGTCAAAAGTATTGATTCTGACCTACTCAAAAATCTTCTTCAATCTGTTTTGTCTGCTGATCAAGCTGCTAACCTTATAAAGGTTATCTCCAAGGAAGAAATCAAAGATGGATTTTTTAGTCAAAGAAATGACCAAGCCCCCGGACCTGATGGTTATTCTCCCCTTTTCTTTAAAAAGTCTTGGCCAATCATTGAAAATGATATTAATGTTGTTGTTCAACAATTCTTTAAGGAATCTTTCATCCTTCCTGACTTCAATACTACTTCTATTGCTTTGATACCTAAGATTCCTAACCCAAGTAAGGTCAAAGATTTTAGTCCAATTTCTTGCTGCTCAGTGTTCTACAAAGCAATTTCTAAAATCTTGGTCAACAGACTCACCAGCTTAATTCCTGACCTCATTACCCTTAACCAAACATCTTTTGTTAAGGGTAGATCTATTGTTGATAATACTCTTTTGGCTCAGGAATTAGTGCGAGGATACAATAGAAAGCACATATCCCCACGCTGTTCTCTGAAAATCGACATGCATAAAGCCTTTGACTCCCTCAACTGGGAATTCATTTCTGCTGTGCTGAAAGCTATTAATCTTCCTCCTCTCTTTATTTCCTAGATTGAAACATGCTACTCGACCACTCGATTTTCAATCTCTTTTAATGGGAGCCTTATTGAATATTTCAAAGGAGCTAGGGGAGTAAGGCAAGGGGATCCCCTATCCCCTTTCCTTGTTGTCCTCTCAATGAATGTTCTGTCAAAACTCTTGAATCTGGCTACATCAAAAGGCTTGATTAATTACCATCCCAAATGTAAGCGTATTGGTCTCACTCATCTCTCATTCGCTGACGACCTCCTTATCTTTTGTAAAGGCACAGTGGATTCTGTTGTAGGGGTCACTTCTGTCCTTGATATTTTCTATGGAATGTCTGGCCTCAAATTAAATGCTTCCAAATACGAATTATTTTTTGCTGGTGTTTCTCTTCCCTCTCTTGAGACAATGAAATCGCTTACTAATTTTAAACTTGGCAGACTGTCAATAAGGTATCTGGGAATCCCTCTTACTAAAAGGAAAATTACTGAATTTGATTGCTCAGCTCTTATTGAAAGTATTAAAGCTCGATTGCATCAGTGGTCTGGTAGGTCTTTAAGTTATGTTGGCAGATTGGAACTTGTTCGAGCAGTTTTATTTAGCATCACTAATTATTGGAGTAGAAAAAACTTCATTCCCTTCTCTATCATTAAAAAGATCGATCAATTATGTTCTAGATTTTTTTGGAAGGGAATTGATAAACCTGTTGCTGGCGCCAGAGTGAGTTGGCAGAATATATGCAAGCCTAAATCAGAAGGAGGACTTGGTCTGAAAGACTTGAAAACCTAGAACAAAGCTTGCATGATGCTCCTTATTAAGAATATTTTGGCTGAAGAAGGTTCTTTGTGGGTGGCTTGGCTTGGTCAGTACATTTTTAATACCAATGATTTCTGGTATTCAACTGTTAAAAATAACATGAGCTGGCCTATAAAACAGATGTTGAAACTTAGAAATGAAGTTTCCTCTAATTTGCTTTCTGGCTCCAAGAAAGTTAATGATTTATGGAATGAGATTAGGGTAAAGAACTCTAAGGTGTACTGGCACTCTCTGTTTTGGTTTCCGCTCCTCATCCCTAAACATAGCCTAATTTCATGGATGGCTTTCCTTGATTGCCTTCCCACTAAAGAAAGGCTCAATCGAATGGGGCTAGTAAATGACCTTCACTGCACTCTTTGTGGAGTAGGATTTGAAACTAGAAACCATTTATTTTTTGACTAGCCGATTGCTACTGCTTTATGGACTGCTATCTTTGAAATCAATGGTATTCGTTTTTGGCACACTTCTTGGGAAACTCTCTATGATTGGGCTATTGCTACTTGGAAGGGAAAATCCCTCACTTCTTTAATGAAAATCTCTTCCAATGCTCTAATTTACACAATCTGGAAAGAAATGAACATGAGAATATTTCAAAGTCAAGCTTCCACTGTTGATGTTATGTTCAAAGCTATCAAGGAAACGGTTGGATTTCATCTAAGGGGAAGGCCTATCAATAAATTAAATATTATAAATTTTAATCTTTGTAATCAATGGGGTATAATTTGATTTTGTTTGTTTGTCATTTTTGATTTGGGGCAATCCTTGTACTCCGAACACTCATTGTTCTTTTAAAGCAGTTCACTGCTATTTGAGTAATAAAAACTAAATTATCCAAAAAAACCCAGATTATCATTTATCAAGGAACTAAAAATAACTCAACTAAGGCATTGAAAAAAAAACCATTCTATAAGGCAGAAAATACTTTGCGGGCATAGACGTCAGCAAGAATAAAACCCCATCCACCATTGCAGAAACTAAGTTGAACAGTGGATGATCCAAAGAGGACGAACTGAGGCCTGACTGGTCCCACAATTTCTCTTATTTTGCCTCTTGGAATTCTTTTTATTTCCCTTCGATGTCAATGGAAAAGGGAATTGGAGCATATATCAACCTTTTGCCCACCAAGTGCTCCTCTCTGCTGTATTTATGAACATAGAGGTTTCAGCTTTGCTTGGTGGTTGGAAAATCAACTACACCTTTTTTTCCAAGTTTTGTCCCTTAGTTTTAATCCATCTATCCCTTCCACTTTGACAATGAACTTTAAAAGACAAAAGCTTTTAATAGAGAGTGACTAAAAGCTTCAGTAATGAGTAAAAAAGGTTCTAGAACATTCGCAAAAGGAAAGACGTAAAGAAAAACAACAAAATCTGGTTAATGTGTCTATTTCATCTCTGTCTTTTTTTATTTTTGTACGGGTAGTTATGCTTTAAGTCGTCTAATAAGAGACGTAATAAAAAATGATAAGAGAATTTTCTAATAGTTTAATTTATCGCAAGTTAAAATGTTATTTTTTTAATATTTATACAATTTAAAAAATTAATATTTTAGATTGCTTTCAATTAAAAATAATTTTTTTTAATTTCAAAAAAGGATGATGGTTGTACAAACTACAAACCAAGCGATCTCCTTAGTTAAATGAATAATTATTACTCTTAGAGATTATAGGTTCGAGCATGATATCTACATGAATGTTTGAATGTTTATTATCAAATTTAATAAATCAATCAATTTATTCAAGTATTAATTTATATAAACTTAACTGACCGAGTGCACATCTATGAAGTAGAGGGACACAAGCAAAAACTGTTGCATCCACCTTCACTTTCACTCATACATTAAGTTTTTTTATTAGAGTTAAATCCTAATTAATACTAAATATTATATATAATTCCGGATATTTTTTTCTCTTCCTTTTATAAAAAATAAATCATAAAGATATACGAGTTCTTAAGGCCAATAAGCATGGACTTCATTGATTCTGAAAAGCTTCATTGGAATGAATTTCAGAAATTTAAAATGGGCCGACAATAATAAGGATTTATGAGTTGTCTGGGCCATTATAATTGAATTTATTGTTCCATATTGGAGGAAATAATACCATTCTAAAAGGGAAATTATTTGATTGTTGATTTAATTACCATTCTAAATATTTGAAATTTAAACATATAATCCTTTTTTAAAAATATATAATTACACTTGATGTGGATTAAACCTGAGATATTGAGGAAGGTTCCAACACTTGACCATTACACTAAAAATTTGTTATAATATTGACAAAAATAATATTTAGTTTAAGTTATGATTGAAAATATATTATGATAAATATAATATATTAACCATAATATAAATTATAAAATAATATAATAACATATTTTTAACATCATTATTACATTAAAAATATATTTGTTTTATAAATATTATGTATAATTTATGTTATAAAATAAGGACTAATGAATAAGAAGGATACAAATTAATTAAAAATATATTAATTATAATATAAATTATAAAATTTTATAAGAATATATATTTTTAATATAAATTATATCATAATTAATATTTTTATTATTACTTTTTGCTTCTCTTATTCATTATTTTTTTAGTTTTGTAATATTGTAAACAATTTTGATAAAGCTAATTTATTTAAATTAATATTATCACTTATTATAATGTTTTATAATTTATGTGATAACTAAAATATTAATTATTTTCAATAGAATCAATTTCAGTCACAATTTAATTTATTATAATAAATCAAACTAAAATATTAATATATATTATACATATATTCTTATAATATTTTATAACTTATATTATAATTAACATATTTTATTGCTATATTTTTATTCTTCTTCATTAATGTAAATTTTATTTTTGACAAAACAATTATAATGTAACCTTTTTATATATATAATGTAATTTATTTTATAATCTTTTATGATGTTCGGATTCTAATAATTGTGAATGGAGTAAATTAGGTTGGGAGAATCGTTATTACCTTTGTAATATCCGATCAGGATTAGTCAACTAATAAATCAGAAACCGGTGGTTATACCAAAAAAATTAAAATATTAATTTATTTAAAAAGTGACGTGTGGGCATGTTACATCTGTTGTGGTTAACGATAGTGATCAAAGTGCAAATAATCTTAAAGTTCAATGATTCCAATATGAAATTTAAAAGTCTGATAACCAAAATAAAAGCATCTTAACAATTCAATGACCACCAGTATCATTTACCCAAAATTATTATAAATTAACTATTTAACCATTAAATAAAAATAACAATAATGGAACCGTATTAGTAATAAGTAATAATATTGGATTTAATTAAAGAAAATTTTGAAAAAAAACTGGAAAATGAAAAAGAAATAAAACTTTACATAAAGTCGTAAAAAAAGACAGGCAAACCTTTACCAAAACCAAATACCAAATCCAACCGAACTTATAAGACAAGTTTGCATTATTGTTGAATATGGCGACACGACACGAGAGTCCATCAACATAATTATAGACAATTGATGGGTTTAGGGAGCTGCTGAATTACAGAATTAGGTTGCAATGCTTCGAATCATAATCATTCTACTTAGGCAAATTCATTATTTATTGACTTTCAAATTTTACCTTCTCTTAAAAACAATATCATCAGTTTATTCTGTGAATATGTTAATGGTTTTTATGGAATTAATATCACTATCCTTCACTAAAAATATTATTTTTTAATAAATTTTAAATCTAATTATAATTTTATCTAAAAAGAAGAGGAAAGGAGGATTTGAGGAAGGAATGAGAGTGTTTCTAATATATTTAAAATCAACGATCTAAGAAAATACAAATAAATAAAGATATATGATTTGATTAACCGATTGAATGTACTTGTCCAAATAAAACTATTGAATTAGAATTATAAGAAATTTAATTATTAATTAAAACTTGAACTAATACGTGATATGGAAAAAGGGGAACAAAGTCAAATTTTGGAAAAAGAAGGTAAAATGATGAAACATGAGCGTTTGATCAAGTCAAGTTAAATATCTCATAGTCGATATAATTTTTTTTGAGTTTAGTCGAGTCAAATTTTTGAATTTTTGTTTAAATTTAATTATAAATATTAATAATATTATGATATTACGTGATGCTAATTTAAATGATTTTTTATAACTATATATAATAAATATATATTTTTTCATATTTTTTGTATATGTGATATATATATAGAGTCGAGATACTCAATTTAAACTTTAAAATCAATATACTAATTATTAAAAATTTAAGTTATTCAAATTACTGTTTAAATTGTATTTTACAATTCAATTGAACTTGAGATTTTTTTAATCAAATTTATAAAATTATAACTTGAAATTAGTTCAAATTGACTCGAAAAAAATCATTTTTTTCAAGTGGCTTTGCTCAAAACTAAACGTGACAGCCTCTCTGGTCCACATTTATGGTTAATTGAACAATTGAAGACACCAAAGCATAAGCAAAACAACAGAGAAGGAAGCCAAGCCAGCAAGGCATTCAAAAACAAATATTTTCTCTTTCTGGAATTTCACATGCAATCCATTTAATTTTCTTTAATCCCGACAACCCTTTACACCAATCACCAATTATTTCTTTCTTTTCTGCGATAATCATTTTTTTTCTTTTGAGCATCCAAATTAAAAAAAAAGTCTTTCTTTGTATTTATTTTTCTTTTGTGTTTCGTTAGGATCTGGTTGGTGGTGGATCCACGGGGAGGTTATTTGTGGTGAATCTTGAAGGGAAGGCTTATAGCTGCAAGCACTGCAAAACCCATCTTGCTCTTTGTGATGATATTGTCTCCAAGGTTGTTTTTCTTCTTTCTTAAATTTGATTCCTTTGACTTTTGGCTGAAATCCACATCTGGGTATTTCTAATTTGTTTGGCTGTACTGTGTTTGTGTAATGGCGGTTCAAATTATGATTAGGGGATACCTAAGTTTCCTTTCCATCGTTTTTTTCGTTCACTGCATATATTACTACTTACTGGGAGCAGTATTTAGAACACATTTTCATTTTGGATGAAATTTATGATTGATGGGTTCCATGCTTGATTAAATTGAGATTTCTTCTATTATCAAACTAGGGATTTGGATATTCCATGTTGATTTTTTTGTCTGGTTTATGATGCAATGGAATTTGTATTTTGTTTCGCAAGTTCAATGGTTCTTCTATGTTAAATTTATTATAGAAAAACTGGATGGATGCTTGGAGGATTATGTTGCTATCATCTCTTTTTAGGCATAGTTGATAATTTGGCGTCCTTTGCAAGGGCTTGGCGCTTTGATGATAGCAAATGCTTGGTATTTTAAGACAAGCATGATGTTTATTGTATTTTGTTTTGCTTTCATAAGGACTTGTGCTAGAGATTAGACCTACTATGTGCTTTGTAAATGTTATTCTCAATCATGAATGTTAGATTTTGCATATTTGGTTCTGTGATAATCGACACTTTGTACTACCAATGTAGTCGTAAAATGATGCTACTGTGAAGAAGATGGTAACCGTCTTATGCACTCAAATTGTTTGAAAGTTGAAATACTTATACTTGACTTAGGAGCTGGTTAGTGGTTGATAACTATGGTAAAAAATGAGGATGCATAATTGCTGAAGTATTAAGTAGTTATATATTTCATAGGCATATTGGTGTAGTCGATTTCGTGTTTTTTGGGGTGCTTTTACATTTGTACCAATATTTTTCACGGTGTTGGAAAAATATTGTTTGGGGTTCTCTTATAAGCACAGTTTCTGACCATGTGTTTTGCTTGTGTTATTTTGTTCAGTCCTTCCACTCCAGGCATGGGAAAGCATATCTCTTCAGTAAGGTGTAAGTTTTCTCAGTTTTAGACACCTAATTTGTGTGTTAATAAACTACTGTAATATTTGCCCATGCTATAAGGTGTCAGGCTACTTCTATAACGATACAAGTAATGACGTGGTTGTCGAACTATGTTGTACTCATAATCTCTTGCTTAACGGATGACGAAAGATTGTGCTTGTTGAATTCATTGTTGGTTCTGGTAATTTGTTTTGTTCATTTAGAGCAAGGCAATAACATTTCATTTTCAAGGATATATATTCCAAGGATGGAATCCATGGACATCCCCCACTTGCATGATCTTTCGGAAAGAAAATGGGATTTGAAGTTATCGGTACAGAGTGCTTGTTTTCATATGTACTTTTCATCTCCCATTGTTTCTCAGAGTAAATGTTACTTCTGGAGAAAAGGAAGATAGAATGATGATGACGGGATTGCACACCGTGGCGGACATCTTCTGTGTTGTATGTGGATCGATTGTTGGTTGGAAATACGTAAGCTTTAGTATTGCAATTTCGAAATTCATGGTTTAATGTATCTTTGCTTGTTTCTGTAGATTACACGGATTGTTTATGTTTCTTTTAGGAACTTGCCCATGAGAAGAACCAGAAATACAAGGAAGGAAAATCCGTCCTTGAAAGGTGAGTGATAAATCAGAAATATAGCAACTTCGGTTTCGGGTTAGGGAAGGATGTTCGTAACAGAGGTTTCTGGATCATGGTGTCAAACAGGTATAAGGTGTCCGGTCCCGATGGAAGCAATTACTGGATCAGCCATGGAAGACACGTGGGTGGGAGTGATGCAGATGATGTTTGATTAACAAATGAAATATGGTCAAATTCCAATTTGTACATTCTTTATCCCCTTAAATCCATTCAACGCTCATGTGAATCCTTGAAAACCTGACTTGTTTAAGCAGCTTGTCCAACTTGCTGTGAAAACATTGAATTGTTGATTATATCTTAGTTGGTGTTGAAAGATGATCAGAAATATTCTGTTACAATTTGATATTTTGGGGCATGGTTATTTATTACTCCATTAGGATATGAAATCTTTCAAAGATATGAAGAAACCTTTTTAAAAAGCAAAATTAAATACACCATAATTAAAAATACATCCATGACAGATTTTAAAATAATACTGAAAAAAAATCAATGACCATATTATTTTATATTTCAATGGTTGCATATTTGATTTTATTATTAGAATATTTTATTATTATTTATTAATATAGTGTGATTACAAATTAATATTTGTTATAAAAATTCACAATAATTTGATAATGAAAGTTCAAACACCTTTATAGTCTTTAGTACTTGAGAGTCTGGAACCTCTAAAGATAACAATTATTCCTTTAAACAGAGATAACTTGATTCATGTTATATTATTACGTTTATATATGATGATAACATCATCCAAAGATTATTTATGAAAAAGGCAAAATTATGCTTCTTAAAAAGTGTTTTAAATGATATCTTATCTTTATATGACATAATTTTTATTTTTCTATAATTTTTAAATATTTTTATAATTTTTATGTTAAAAGATTAATTCATCATCGAAAAAAAAATAGAATAATTGACGACAGTTTAACGGGTTCCATCATTTTTTTCATCGGTTTAATTTGATTAAAAAAATTTAAAATTTAAAAAATAAATATTAAATTTTTTTTAATAAAATAATAAAGACCAAAAATATCATTAAATATGTATTTATGATTTATCTATGTAGTTTTAAGCACGTTATCATTTATATTAGTTTGTTTGCATTTGTGATTTCCTTGAATCCTATATACTCATAAAGGTTTACTTGAACTCTTGGGATGATTTGTATCTGTTTATGTATATAAGGGTAAACTATATAAATGGTTATTGAAATATAAGTAAGCTTCTTCTTTCAGTATTGAAATTTTAAAAATAATGAAATAGCCACTAACATTTGTATTTTATAACAAATTAGTCACTCATCCATTCACAATCATAAAAGTCTGTGATACTTTGGACGGTTGGATTAGCATTATTTGGCCACATTGGTGCCTTTGACTCTCACTCTTTCAATGGCGACGTTACTCTGCAATGTTGTTTCTTTGTTGCTTCTTCCATTTCCGGCCTCAAAACTTTTTAACATCAATAACTTTTAGTGTTATTAATTTAATCCTATTAATAATAAATTATTTTATAGAAAATAGAGGACCAAACAATGTTAAACTAAAGTAGAATTATTAGATCACAAATTTTAGCATAATAAAAGAACTAAAATAATAATTAGACCAAAAATAACATCCAAAAAGGTTTTTTTTTAATATAAAAGAGGGTTATTATCGAGATTATCCATCCACCTAAAAGCGAACCCCCCCCCCCTAAAAACGTAGCTTTTAAGGGAGGGAAAAGGAAACAACGAGAGCTCCAGTTACAGTTGTAACGTCATTCAAGATTTCCCTCCAATTCCCATTTAACCCCTCCCTCCACCTCCTTATTCGTCTCCTTGCCACTCCCCGCCATTGTCGTTTCCCTCTTCAATATTCCCTCCTTCTCTTCCTCATGTCGTCTCGTCTTTCGAGCTCCAAAGCTCAACCTAACTCTTCCAAAACGCCTCGTTTTGGAGTACTTTGATGCGTGAGAAAAATTCCGAGGAAGGTGAAGATGAATCGGAGCTTTAGGGAAGAAACAGTTATGCAAGTGGCGGCGTTGAAACAACGGCAACAGTTAAGAGCTTCGACGATGAAAGAGAAAGAAGAAGAGCTTGCATTGTTTCTCGAGATGCGAAGACGTGAGAGAGAACAGAGTAATCTTCTTCTTAATCACTCCTCCGAATACTTGGATTCGCCTTTAGGTAAAATTTTAAAAATTTCTTAGTTTAGTATGTAGTTTTCATTTGTTTCCCCCCATAATTTTGTATATATATATTTTTAAAATTGTAGGATCTAAACCTGGAGCTTCACCGGTATTTAACCTTTTATCCTCGACAACTACTCCGGTGAGAAATACGGGTGATACGGCTGATGATTTTCTTAATTGTGATAGTGATAAAAACGACTATGAATGGTAATTTGCTTTGCTTATTTGTTCTTTTTGTTTAAAATTTAATTTATCAATAGGTGGTTTGACGGAAAGCAAAATGCAAAAGCTGCCTTTCAATTTTGAAGTGAATATATTTGTTTTTTATTGACGGAATAATTATGTTAGAATTGGATTTAAAATTCAGTTGTTTCTTTACCTATAATTAATTATATTCTTGTTTTATTGTGTTGGCTTTTTTAGGAATCATATTAAGAGAAATTACCAAACAGTACGGAAACCATAGACCAAAGAAAATCTTGATTTTATTACTCGCATGCTTAGCTTAGTTTTGCATTGGGGTTGTTAATATCATATATAATGCTAGGTTTCAATTATTTTGATTAAATTTGGCCGAAGGATTAATAAGAAAATAAGAAGATAGACGAAAAGAACAAGAAAGGTGGATGATAATTATGGATGACATGCATGTGTGATTGATTAAAGGTAATAAGTTGATGGTTGTGGATGAGCATCTTTTACATGTGCCCTGGGGTCACCAGCAGCAACTAGAGCGTTTGTATTTTCTAAACTTTGGGTTGGCATGGCAGCCTTTTTGTTTTGGCCGCTTTGAAGTAAAGAATTGATGACGTCTTGTACCTTGAACTGAAACTTCATTTTCCTACCTTTTTGAATCTAGTTGAATTATGTTTCATTGTTATGATCTTCATTCCTTCCATTTTTCACATTCCAACTTGATCAGATCTAGATGCCATGTTTCATGAACCCTATTATTTTCCTCGTGGTTTTTCCTTTGTTTCTCTAAAGAAGTTAAAAGGATGCTAATTGTTGCTGCTATTTCATGGACATATCTATGCTAGTTGACTCCAAAAGGCAAAGTTCCAGATTTCCAAAAGAAGCCAAATGCTTAACCTTTACGCCAAAGATTTAGATAACAGATTTTTAGATTGTTTTTTCTAACTAGCTTTCGAAGCTTTGATATAAATGATAGGGACTGAACTGGGAACTTCTTGTATTGGTTGGGCTAAAGCCCACAGCGAGGATGGAAAGGACTGATGCTTGGTGGCTTGCGTGAATCATGATGGTCTAACCAAAATTTGATTAGCTTAAAGGGACTTTTATTTATTTTTCTGTAAGAATTGAAACCATTAACATATCTTATAGTGTTACTCAGTAAGGAAACTTGAACTGGTTATAAGTTCAGAAGAATCTTAATTAACTGTAACTTTGAAAGAGTAAACTTCTGTTGTATACATGCTTGTCTGATTTGACGGTCAGATTCTTAGCTTCAAGACATGATTTACGAGTTCATGTTGTGAATTATAATATATGCATATCCTTGATGTTGAGAATGCTAAAGGATTTTGAAATATGGGTTTTGGTTCCAAAATTGATTGTAAAAGTTTTTGGATGAATTCCCACCGTCTATGGGAAGATGCGTTAAGGTCTTACTCTTGCTTCAGCTTTGAATCACTCCTTTTTATTCCCCACATGAATGTGATTGAAGGAATAGAAAATTCTTTTAACGTGATGGTGTTAAACTGAAATTTTTATTCCATTTCAGGCTTTTATCGCCCCCTGGTACTCCTCTTTTTCCTTCCTTGGAGATGGAGTCGCGAAAGACTGTATTGAGTCAGATTGGCATTCCTAAGGCTCACCCGGCTGCCGTTAAATCCAGAGTATGAAAATTTTCTAGATGCTATAATATGGATTACACAACTTTTGAAAAGTTTCAGATAACAGATTTGTAGATGTTTTTAGACCTTATAGCTTTTCTAATAATTGGATTCATGGACTTATTGGCAATTGATTTTGTTCGTTGTGTTTATAGGTAGCAAATCCCCAGGCAGAGTTTTCTGCGAGGAGCAACTTAACACTGAAGCAACCGGCTTTATCCCCTGGGTCTACCGGGATTCGCAGGCCCTCTTCCTCGGGGGGTCCAGGTTCAAGACCTGCAACACCCACTGGACGCTCTGCATTGACTGGAGCATCTAAACCTACGAGATCACCAACGCCGACAAGTCGGGCCACATTACTGTCAACTAGGCCCTCCCTTTCTGCAAGTAAGCCTGTGACATCTACAACTAGGCCTGCAACAAAACCCGTAACATCCACGACGAAGCCCACAGTTCCTGCAGCCAGGACTGTATCTTCTGCTATCAAACCTGCAGTTTCTTCAAGATCCTCCACACCAACAAGGTCCACAGCTAGGCCTTCAACACCAACTGCAAGACCTTCTATACCTTCATCCAAACCCATATCAAGAGCAGCCACACCAACTCGTCGACCATCAACTTCTGCAAGTGGTCCTAATATATCCACTCCAATTAAATCATCTCATTCTGTTTCAAAGCCAACACATGCAGCATCCAGAAATTCTGTGCCATCACGTGGTGCCTCTCCAACGTTAAAATCTAGACCATGGAAGCCTTCTGACATGCCTGGTTTCTCGCTTGATGCTCCACCAAATTTAAGAACAACTCTACCTGATAGACCACTTTCAGCCACAAGAGGTAGGCCTGGAGCACCAAGTTCTCGATCTTCTTCCGTCGAACCAGGTCCTACTGGTAGACCAAGACGACAGTCATGCTCTCCTTCAAGAGGCCATATCCCTAATGGTGCAATGTTGCATGTCAGTGGGAGCTCTGTTCCTGCAGTAAGCCGTGGGTATTCGAAAGTTAGGGACAACTTGAGCCCTGTTCTAATTGGAAATAAAATGGTTGAGAGGGTAATAAACATGCGGAAACTGGTACCACCAAAGCAAGATGATAAACACTCTCCTTACTGTAACTTGTCTGCGAAGTCTGCATCACCAGATAGTTCAGGCTTTGGACGAACACTTTCAAAGAAATCACTTGATATGGCTATAAGACATATGGTAAGTAACGAAGCTTGTCTGTGGCATTATCTTTTATATTGCTTAAATTAGGATCCGTTAGGTGGGAGTCTAACAATCAAATAATGTTGTTTTCAAGGTATCCCAAATCCTCTATTTAGTAGTTCATATTTGTAGGTGGATTATACAATTTTCCCTTATCCCTCATTTCATTCACGTCAGTCTCAACTTTTGGGTTATTTTGGGCTTAAACTTTGAGAAAGAACGTTGAGGGGGAACAACTGAGTTAATTCTTTCTTTGATTTCAATATTATCTTGAGCAGGATATAAGGCAAAGGATTCCTGGTAATTTACGGCCATTGATGACGAATATTCCAGCATCATCTATGTACAGTGTAAGATCAGGTCCTGCACGGGGCAGAACAATTAATATCTCGGATTCCCCTCTTGCTACAAGCAGTAATGATAGTTCGGAGCTTAGTGTCAACAGTAATGGCATTTGTTTAGAGAGGAACGAACTATAAGATGATATTGGAAGTGAGAGAGGTGCAAGACCCCCTGCCAAAGTTCACGCCAGATGGTGGTAAGGGTGTACCACCCTGCTATATGTCCATACATTATTGTTTTCAATCTACAAGATTTGACACTTGGAAGAGAAGCAATTTCCGAGATGAACATCATCGGAAATTTTTCCAATATCGATGTATTATCAGGGAAGCTGGATTGATGATAAAAATCTCTCCTCCGAAATTCTACGTGTTGAGTTGTTGAGAGCTAGCTTTGATATGGTGAAAGCTTATGAAACTGAAAACTAGAGATCAGCTCCCCAGCATTCCCAATTGGAATGAAGTCACTTTGGAGGTAAAACTAAAGGTTATAGAAGTTGCAATTAGCTACCACTTTTGGCCAATTATCCTTGTAGAAATATTCTTAAGCTTTGTTGGGATACAATTTTCGTTCCAGATGGATTTGAGGGTGCATTCTCTTGCATCGATTTGATACTTTTAAAACGTTAGAATGTTTGCCATTATCGGTGCCTTTTGTTAATTGTGTTAACAAAGTATTCTTGAAATAGCTTTTTTTCTTCTTCTCTAATTCAAGTATTAGAATCCAATCAAGAAGCAAATCCTTTGATAGATGTTTCAATACATAATGGTATCTGCAATAGATGTTCCAATCGGAAAGTTCATCAACCAAAATAACAAGAAAGATTGATAATCAACGTTGTTCGCTATAATCATTTCTCCCTTTAAAACACAATTCTCAGCATGATTTGGTTACCACAATTAGTAGGAGTAGATGAATCGCAAAGTTTTTTGGAGCTTGAAGCAAAATGTTTCTGCTACCGCAATAGTTGCATCACAATGTACCTGATTCAATACAATCATGAAACGAGTAGGATGATATATTTGTTTATTTCTAAGGAAAAAAGTAGGTAAAAAACAAAACTTTTTTTTTTTGTAGTAGACAATATTAGTCTGCAATCAGATTGGCGCAGCGGAAGCGTGGTGGCCCCATAACCCACAGGTCCCAGGAGTGAAACCTGGTTTTGATATTCCATCTGGTTTATATTTTATTTATGATATCAGCTCCAAAGAAGACCAACCGTTAGATATAAAAAAATCAATGAAAAAGGAAAAAGAAAAAATCATATCGAAAAAGTGCCTACCATGGACCTTGAAGGAGGCTGCTGTTCTACACTACACATGCCAAAATTTTCAGACCTAACGTCTAGACTTGATCGGTGTGGCTGCAAGCCTACCAAGGAAGATGTCAAAAGATGCTTCATGTTGGAATTTGATAGAACTGTAAGTTTAATACCTTGGTGTTTTTTTCTTAAAATATCTGTTCTGCTATATTGGAAATGACAGTTAAACATCAGGAGATATGAACTTGATATTTATTTTCCCCTGTGAAATAAGAACTTTTGGTCATGTTATCCTTAGTTGAGAAATTAGGAGAGCCTAAATTAATGGGAAGACTATTAAGGACATGGATCAAGGTTGCTAGAAGCATTGAAGATCAATTCAATAATTGACACCGACTAGATGGGGAGTAATATTAGGAGTGGTATTTGATAGTCCCAAGCAATTCATAAAGCAACGTTATGAGAATCTGTTGTATGTTTAATGTTCCTCTGAGGTAGTCAGCGGACAGCCAAGTTTGTGTTTAGTGGCATGAGTGAACACCATTTTGAATTTTGATTTAATGGAATCCTGAGCTACCCAGTTGTTTCCGTATTCCCCTTGTTCTTAGAGCACGGACCAGATGTTTTGGGGTTAAATTGTGATTTATGTTGTTTTATGGTTGGATTGCTCTCTGATGTATAATTGCACTTTGTATTATAGCTTGATATGGATATCATCTTCTTATAACTGTTGTTTCATTATCTATATAAATGTTATTTGTTGCAGGCATTTATAATTGCTTCAACTGCAACAGAGGAAGAGATGCTTAACTGGTATGTGATTGAATGCAGGGTCTTCTTTTATTTTTTATAGTGTCCCTTTTTACTTGAATTGTGATGTGCTCATGTTGAACAATATTGGCTCTGGTTATTATAGCTACCGTGAACATGTGTGGGGTGACAAAGACCTAAACTCCTGAGAAAGGGTATTTTAACTCGCTTATATGCTCCAATGGTAAGGCCAATTATGTGACATTAGTGAAACTTATAAATCACATGAAACCAAAACTACTTTTATAAGCATCCATATTTAGAATTCTGTTTGAATGATATATCCATATTGACATTACATGAAAAATTTGGATATTTCTCTTTACAGTTTAACATACGTTTCTCAATATGTTTTTAGCTTCGATCATGTGTTCAAATCTTTCTGCATCGGCTGTTCCTCATCACCTCTTCCTGATAATGCTGTTTTGCCATCTCAGGCCATAATACAAGGTTTAAGAGAGTCGGGGGTATTCAGCTCGGTTATTGGAAATGCCGCTAGTAGTATTTCGAAGGACAAGTTTTTAGTGTCCATTGACAGTAGCAACACATGTAGAGTTGTTTCCCTGGCTTCAAGAAAGATTTGTAGAAACAGATAGAATCAACCATCTGTTAGGAAGGTGCTGGAAATTGCAGCGTATGAGGAAGCAGCTGTACCGCCTTTGCCACCCCCTGCATGGACATTGGAGCAATGATCTAGTGGCCTATCTATCTGCAACCTTCTTTATCATGTCTTTTGCTTCCAGCACACCGGAGTCACCGAACAACCGAAAGAGCGGGTATTCAATATCTTCTTGTTGTGTATAGTTTGTTTAAAATTTTAATAGTATATTTAAATTTTGCTTTATAATTATTTTCTCTATATAAATTGGGTTTAAGATAAATTTAATTAGATTATTTTTATAGATATTAAATAAATATATTTAGGAACAATAAACAATATATAAATCATTCGGAAATATAATTCATTGGAGCCTTCTTACGGTTAGAGTGAAAAAGGGGCCACAAACAGAACCCAGAAAGTGGCACATATTAAAAGTAATTTAATACCCAAAAAAAAGTCATAGACTAGCATGTGTGTTACCCAGAAACTACAGGTCCCATAACCCATACCCAAAAATGTCAGCAATCAGAGTGACTCAACGGAAGCGTGATGGGCCCATAAACCAGGATTGAAACCTGGCTCTGATATTCCAGCTGGTCTTCCATCTGAACCAGCTCCATCAATGTTGAAAATATGACCACCTCCAGGTTTAAAACAAGTAGTATCTTTTATTTATCTCATCATCTTTTCGACCAAGTTAGGGTGTTTCCGCTCACTTTTTAGTTACAGCAAGAAACTGTTACTCTTCGATGTCTTTTGTGCCACCTTGAGGCTTAAAAGAATCCATCACCAGGTTTCCACCTAAATAAAAATGAACCATAAAACATACAAGTGGAGGGACCTATATATCATCAGCTTCTTTTGAATGGATAAAACTAAATTCTTCACATCCTCTGCCTCTCCAACATCACACTCAATACCCCGTGAATTAGATTTGTTCAAAGCAGTGTTAAGCTTGAACTGGAAAAATTATGTTTGAAATATAAAGTGGAAAGCATGTAAGAAGAATGAGGAAGCCATAAAAACTGCTCATAGCAGATGTACCCCCATTTCTCTAAGGCTCTTAACAGCGGATTCCACCCCTTCAGCTGTCCAAATATCAGTTGAGCAAGTGTAAAACTAGTTTAATGGTGGAAAGAAAAAAATATAATCCAAGAACAGAAACTATTCAACAACAATATTATTAAACAAGCATTCAAAAGACCGAAGGGAAGAAAAAAAATACCAATGGTTAGAAAGACTAATTATATTAGCAGTCGGCCACCAAAAGATAAGACCTGCCACAATATATTCATGGCAGAACAATACAAGACAATCTCAATTCTCTCCGTGACCATGTTATTAAAACTTCAAAAGAAAGTCAAGTGTTGCAGCGGAAGCGTGGTGGATCCAAAACCCATAGGCCCTAGGATTCAAAACTTGGCTCTGATATTCCAGTAAATGATTACTTTATATTTTGTTTGATTTTCTCTTCATCGATGTGGGAATTCTTTTGGGCCGACACTGACGGTGACAGTCAAAACGATTCGTTTTGCTTATGTTTCCTTCTTGTTACACTGTTTAAATTAATAGGTAATATTTATTTTATGAACTCATGTTAATAATTCTATAAATAATGATTATGGTTGTCTCAGACTTCTTTAATATACAATTTATAATTAGAAATTTATTTTTCAAAACTTTTAAGTTTTCATATATAACTGAGAATGTATTTGATAATTTGATTCGATGAAAATAATATTTTAAAGAAGCTACCAAATGTTGAACAACATCAACCTAAAAATACAACTTTTGCTTTAATTGATCAAAAGGAAGGAAATGAAAGATAGTGAGAGAATACAACCATTCATAATCACTAATTACTTGTGATGCAAGGCAGAACGAGAGAACAAACTATAGCAGTATGATACAAGCTTAAAAGATGCTATATGTAACACAAAGAAATGGTTTGGTCTGAAATCCGAGTTCTAGTTCAGTGATGTTTCAATGAGGGCGAGGGTGCGCACTGGTAGCACTTGGCAAAGAGTCCGAATGTATCGACTTGCTTGATGAAATTCGTCATGCTCGCCCAACCTCCCAAGCCGAAGCCAACTACGAACACCCAAATCACAATAAATGTGTTCACTGCATAAACCGCCGTCCAGCTAGGGAGGAAGAAAGGAGGCTTCTCGGCCGCATTCTGCACCACACGATGATTACCAAAAAGTCAAATGTGCGTCGATAGATTTTACACAACAATGATTCCTTTCGAAGGTAGAAAAAGGTTAAATCGCTCTGATCAACCAAACTGGTTTGATCATATGACAGACTAGCAATATAATTAAAGCATTCGACAATGCCAGCCAGGATGAACACATATTTGGCAGGAAATAAAGAAAGTGGACCGTTGATGTATTCACCTGTCTAGCGGAGGATGATTTATAAGCGAGCATATGAGCCAAGGCAGGGATGATGTAGACAGTGAAGCTAACTAGAAGCGATCCTACAGCCGAATTGATGGGACCGAAGAAAGGAAATATGATTGCCAAGAACCATATCGGTATCACCACTGGTAACCGGCATGCCGCCCTCAAACATATACTCTTCGTGTCATGCATCCCAACCACTTTCTCCCATACAAAGTACAGCGGCATACTTGCAAACCCGAATGTAATAAACTGTGAAATTAGAACGCCAAAATGATCAATCCTGTTGGTTTTCACTATTCCAAATTAAGATATTCTCTATGATATCCACAAACCTGGTGAATTAACATTAAGACAACTGCAGCATCACGCCACCCAGAACGCGGGAGGAGCGAAAAGGCATTAGAATGATTAAGTAGTTGATCACCGAAAGCCCAGTACACGGCGGAAGCAGATGGGATCGTTAGGGTGAACACATAGAGGGTGGCAAATAGATATATGTACTTGAATTTTTTAGGCTTCCACATAGCATGCATAATCTCCCTGTAATCAATGTCAAACATTAATCTTTAAATGTATTTTACTGCTGAATCATAGTAACTATAATGTAAGACTTACACGGTGACGGCATGTCCGCCGAAAGTATAGAGGATATTGGTGGCGCCGGTGAAATACAACACCAACTTAGTTGGACCATGGCGAGTTACACCTTCCACCTGCAAGACAGAGAAAAAAACATAAGTTAAAAGGTTGTAAGAAAAGATGAAGATCTAATCAAAAACTATGGAAAGATTAGTTTGCTGTGTTTTACCTGGCCATGGACAAGGGATGCAATCGTTAAATACCAGGCAGTGTATGTGGTCATTCCAAGACCCAGAAAAGACCAGATTCTATAGTTGTGAAATGAAGGGATGAACACTGTGGTGGCACAGCAAGCTCCAAAGATGTAAGTCCATGTCCTCTTGTCTAAGTTGTCATTTATGTAATAAATGTTACTGTAATCAACTCAAGGAAAGAAAGAAAGAAAAAACCCAGAAATCAGTTGATTAATTCCTCACAATTGAGAATTTTGATTAAAGACAAAAAATATGGGACCTGGCACAAGCTATGAGCTGAATGACAGATCCAAAGAGAAGAAAAGTGCAGTTAAAAGCCAATCCAATTGCTTTCCAGTATGGTCCCAATAGACCATCTAACACTTCAAACCACTGCAAGTTATAAGGGGGAAAAACTTATGCATTTTTTTTAGAATTTTTGAAGCTGATGATCTTTGAAAAGCTAACCTGTATAACATGGTTCTTGAATCTGACATTCTCTTTCTCCTTTCTGTTTCGGTATTCAATATAAAGAACACTGATGAGATATGCTGTCCAGCTTCCAAGAACACCATAGAAAATCTGCAGAATAATCCCAGAAAGCATTCCCATTTGAGAGAAAGAATATGGCAGTGTTAATAGCACTTGAGCCACCTGCAACCCCACCACCAAAAACAAATCAGCTTTGAGAAAGAAAGAAAAAAAGAATGGAAGGAAGAAATGATCTTGATCATTTATGATTTGTTTGATTAGAATTTTGAGTACCTGATTTGAAGCACAGCTAAACCAGGCATCATAAACAGAACCGCCATGCCAAAGGAGGCTCTTAACACTGAAAATGGAATGCCCTCCCTTTTCTTCATCTTTCTCCTCATGTTCAGCTGGATCGTTTAAGGTTGAAACAACAATGGCTTCCTCCGTTTGATTCTCTCCTGCCATTGATTAACTTCCCTAAAAGATCAAAAACAGAGTAACAATTAAACCAATCCCACCACACAAAACCGAGAACAAAACTTCAGAATATGAACCTCAAATATTGGACTATGGTGCCTTATTCCAGGGAGGTCAATTGGAAGCTCCTTATAAGAAAGAAAGAAAAAAAAGAGCTTTTTTGACAAATGTGGGAGTACCCCAAAATCAGCTTCAGCACCTACTTTAACCGCTCTCGAAGAAAAAAGTCACAGATTTTATGGGTGGCCGTTACAGCTTTAATTTCTCCTTCAAAGGAAATTTGCAAACTCATAAATTAAGAAACCTGTAATTAGGAAGAATCCATCCCAGATTTTAAAACAAAAAATGGCAGTGCCTTAGTTCACTTCCTTTGCTTGCTTCTTTTAACACTGTTTCATAGTCTCTGTTACTAAATGATCCAATGATGCATGAAATATATGATATAGGATTATGGCCTTTTTACACTGATTTATGTATTGGGTATTGATCCAAATATTAAGTGGCTGTGCCAAAATTCATGTTTTACTGTGAAAAAGACGAGAGAAATGGGGGGGGGGAACCTTTCACATTTGCCTGTTTCACATGTACAATGATGGTCAAGTTCTCAAACGTTTACATTATGACGTGTGAAAGTAGAAAAAGAAGAGAAATAAAAGAACGCAAAACAGGGAAGTGAAAGTGAAACTCTTTTTCTGAGTCAAAAAGTTTTCCAAAAGCTTCAACTAAATAATCCATTTTTATAACGCATAAATTTCGCCCTATCATTGGCTGTGCGTTGGTGGGTAGGGACGACGAGGATGAACAGAAGATGCATTGGGTGGTATTCTTGAAAATTTTAAATATATATATATATATATAGTTTAAATATTTTATTAACAAATTAATTTTATATCTCTAAATTTATTTATCGTATCCTTTCATTTTCCATCCTCGGTTTTTATTACATGTTTTAATAAGGTCACCATGTATGGGTTCTAACATTCCAATACAAACTTACATGCTGTTGCCATTAAAATCAAAGAAATGGATAATAATAAGGAAGAAAACAAAGCATCAAGTAGTTGAAGCTACTCCCTTATCCTTCCATTCACCTGCGCCCCCTTCAAACAACAATCTCCCGCCTTTGCAAAATCTCTCACAAGAAAATGTTACGGCGCAATGTCCGCTGCCTTTTGTCCGTTTATGACAGATTTAGTACTACGTTTAAGGATGATAATTTAATTCAAAATGGACTGATTTTGATCTGATACTATTTTATAGGGATAGATTTTTTAAAAAGTTTAACCATCGTAAAAGTCTCCACACTTCCATACTATCCACCTATCTTCTTTGCTCCGAACTTTTATACGCCTTTTAGTTCTTCGAGCATCCCTACAACTTAGTCTCTAAGGCCATCTCCAACGCATCGTTGGAGTGGCATTCATCTCCACTTTAGAGATGATCTTATGCTCCAGCCCATCACCATTGTTATGTTGATTGTGGCATCGGGTTACAGTATACGCTACAACTGACATTGCACTGTAGCTATGCTATATTTTTTTTCTTTTCTGATTTTTGGTTTTTTTAATTTTTTTGTTATTTTTTTCTTTTCCTTTTATTTGTTATATTATTTTCTCTTATTCTATCTTTTATGTTTTTTTATTGTAATTTATACACAATAAAATAAAAATTAAACATAATATAATAAATTCAAATAGATTAAATTGCAAGATAGATAAAAATATATTGAAATTAGATAAATAAACATACTAATTTTTTGAAACATAAAAACTACAACAAACATAAAAACATAGAAAATACTAATAAAACTCAAACAACATTTTAACCAACAACTCAAACACAATAATTTAACTAATAACCAGACAGACCCTTCCACTCCCTTCAAGATCATCAAAGTTCATTCCAAACACATTAAAAGTAGTAGAGGTTGATTGTTCTTTCCGAAGAATTTTTTGTTGTTCGTTTCGAAAATAGTGGCGTCGTTCGGGGTCAACAATGATATCTAGATCCATCGCTAGAAGTTTGTCATCTCTCCTCAATTGTGCAATTTCAAACCTTTTATTCATGACCTCTATTCTTTCGTTTTCCAGATGAAGAACAAAATCTCTTTGTGCCTTTGATAAAGATAATGTTTCCCGAAACTTTTCAGTTAATTTATTGAAGGAATTTGCAAGAATAGAGGCTTCTTCGATTTGCTTCCTTTTTGCTTTGGATTTTTTGACACCATTTAGTCGCTGGAAAAAAGAACCACATGTACTAATATTTTCATCAATGCTTAAATTTATTTCAAACGAATACAACAACAGATGAACGAGATATTATGACTGTTTGCATAATAATGCATAATATGATAATCGAGGATGAACGAGATCTTAATTCTCCAATTGTAGAAGGAAGAGATGCGCCGCCTCCGAATGTCGAATTTGTTGAAGATAAGGAGACTCGATTTCAAGAATTCCTTACCCGATTACTACAAATCAAAGATGTAACTGCTCATTTTGCTCTACGAAATGCACTAATTGAGTATTTGTGGAATGAATATTCTAATTCGGAGAATTAAAATATATAATTATGTAATTTATATTTTTTCGTATTATTATTATGAATTGTAATTTTCTTATTTATTTGTATTTTCGCAATGTTATTTATGAATGTTTTATTTATGCTTTTTATATTGATATTTATTATAAATGTATATGTTTTATTTTATATTTGTAAAATTAATATTATAATAGATAAATATTGTGAATAAAGTAGAGTTGGTGGTAATGTAGAGATAGTGCTGGAGATGAATTACTGTTTTATCTTTAGAGTATAGATAGAGATGCTGTAGAGTAGAGATGATGGCTGGAGATGTCCTAAAGCCGAACATGCACCAATTAATGTCATAATTTTAAAGATCTGTTGGTAATAATTATATTTGATCTAATGATATTTTTGTTGTTGAAGTGGCTGAACCCCAATCTTCTATTTTGTTTGGTAAGAAAGAAGAATATTTTAGCAATATGGAAGTATCTTAGCCTAACTCCTGCCATTGATAATGGAACTTCATATTCCAAAAGAAAAAAAAAAGTTGGGTTCATTCATCTTTTCTTTTCCCTTTTTTCCCCTTTTAATCTCCAGCTTTTCTAATTCATTTCTCTCGTGTAATCTCAAGTCATCCTTTTGATGCTATCACACCTTGGAATCCAATGTTCTATTTATAAATATAAGTAAATTACATTAATAATTATTTTTTGAAAAAAATATTTTCATTTTTATCGTGAAGATTAAAATGGTTTCATTAAATTTATTATCATAAAGAAAAACTTTCAATTCGATTAGTAGACACGTTAAACCATTAACGACAGTTGAGGTGATTAAAAAATATCAACATTCATAGCTTTTCCTTTCATCGTCATTTCTATCATCATTCGATAGTTTCTCCAATTAAAAAATAATCAAAATATTACTTATCTTCTTGTTTTTTTTTCTTTTTTCCCCTCCGATTTAGATTCATTAAAAAAACTTTTAATCTCCTTAAATCTCAATTGAAATTAAAATTCAAAATTTTCTATCTATCATTGTCAACCATCATATCAACTTAAAATCGAACTATACTAATTTTCACACGAAATTGAGATTTCTCACTATTAAAATTAACTGACAATCAACCCCATTCATCAAAATCATAGTCTTTGTAGCAGCTGCCAGTTTGAATTTGTATAAGTTTTTGAGAAAATAATATTTTTAAATGTTACAGTAATTTTTTAACGACAATCATCATAATGAAAATAAATTCAAAATCTGATGATTATAGTGTAAACTCTAAAAAAACAATAAAAGTAATTTTTAAATGTTACAGTAATTTTTTTAACGACAATGATCAACATGAATGTAATTCACCTATAAATTTTTATAATTAGAGGATATGACATGCTTCGAATTATGAATAAAATGATCATTATTACTTCTATTATTAAAATGGATGCAACTATGATTATGGCTTAATTGTTTAACAACCAATCCTTAGCCGATGAAGATGTAATGTTTTGAGGCATCCAAGAGGATTTTGTTTTGAAGGCATAAAATAAGCAGTCAAAAAGACTACATTGGCCTATCATTTAGATTCTTTCATTTTCTTAATTATTTCCCACTTGTTCTTCTTTTAATAACGATTAGGGTTAGGGATGAACGATCGATCGAGTTGAACTGAGTTAAAAAAAATCAAGTTATTCAAGCTAACAAGTCCTATTTTATAATTCAAATTTAACTTGAATTTTTTTTAGCAGAGTCAAGTTTATAAAATTTGAGTCGAATTTAGTTTTTGAGTCTCTGTTTAAATTTAATTATAAATATTTATAATATTAGGATATTATTTAATTCTAATTTAAATTTTTTTATAATCATATACAATATATATATATATATATATATATATATATATATATATATATATATATATATATATATATATATATATATTTCTTTATTTTTTCATGTGTGATATATATATATATATAAAATCAAAATACTCGACTCAAACTTAAAAATCAATTCATTAATTTTTAAAAATTTAAGTTATTCTACTAGTACAGGGAGCAACAACGCCGACTATCCTTCAACACATGCGAGAAAGGATGGGTAAGGATTGGATGGTATCCTTTTCACAGGTCAAGCGAGGAGTAAACAGGGCAACAGACAACACTACAAAGTTGGTTCAGAAATATGACTTTATAGGACGAGTATTCCAGATACCTCCAATGGTTATCGATTCGATCCTCCATGAGGACGGAATAGGATTAGGACAGTGATAGGAACTCTACTTTTGGTAGGTTTTTATTTAAAAATAGAATTAAGTTATTTAAGTTACTATTTGAATTATTTAAATTATATTTATAAAATAATTTTAATTATTTTTTAGTCGAGTCGAATTTTATACCTCCTTTATTAGAAGGGCGAACAACGGATGAACAAGTTCGGGATTGAAAAATAAAGAATCCAAGCAAAAGTTCGCATCAAATAACTTAGTGGGATTCGCCAATCATTTCGTAATATATCTCATTACTTAATTCAATCAGGAAGCATTTAGCAAAAGATTTAACAGTGATCTTCGATCGAATATCAGCTATCAGCCTACATGATAATCCCAGGCCCTCAAAAATCTCAAGATTCAATCTTGGGCCTGAAGCTCTTGATACATGAAATGGGTTATCTTCTGATCAGCAGTAATGTGTTATTAATGGGCTGGAGATCCCCAGATCATGTTAAGCCAGCTCAAATCCTCAAACCCAGAATGAGCAACACAAAAACCCTAGTTCATCCCCTATATAAACCGACTGTAACCCTTGACTTCATCCTTACCAGCCACCAGTTTTTTTTTTCATCAACAATTCTCAAATCCAGTCAGAGGTTAAAGAGACGGCGTTGATTGCCTGCCCGCCTTGACCGACCGTCCGGCATCGTCTTGGCCCTCGATTTTGCTCTATTACACGTTGTTTGTTCGTTACTAACCCTTTGTAGAAAATGGCAGTGAAACCCACCAAGGCCGAAAAGAAAGTCGCCTACGATTCAAAGCTATGCCAACTCTTAGACGAGTACACCCAGATCTTAATCGCCGCCGCCGACAACGTGGGTTCTAACCAGCTCCAGAACATCCGCAAGGGTCTCCGAGGTGACTCAATTGTTCTCATGGGTAAGAATACTATGATGAAAAGGTCGATTAGGATGCATTCTGAGAAGACCGGGAACCAGGCTTTTCTTAACCTCATCCCTTTGCTCCAGGTAGTCTAGAGCTATATATCTACACATATATAGAATATTGTATTCATAAAGTAACTGGTTTTCTCGGAATTTATAATGCAGGGAAATGTTGGTTTGATCTTTACCAAGGGCGACTTGAAGGAAGTCAGTGAGGAAGTTGCCAAGTACAAGGTATGATATTGTTGATTTATTTTACTAATGGAGATTGTAATATATTTTTCCAGTTCTTTTTATTGATGATGTGATTACATGAAGATCAAAACAGTTGCTTTTATTATAAGTTAACAATATATACACTTGTTTAATATGTTCAGTCATAGGGAGTTGAGATTTTTGTGTGTATTTTATGATTTATTTAAACATTTTCAGTCGTAGGAAGTTGAGGTTATTGTTATATCATTTGATAATTTTTGTACAAATAGCCAAAATTTAGTAAACATGTAACTCACATTGATTTTAATCGTTTTTGCTATTTTGAACTATGATTTAATTAAGTTGCTCCTTTTTATTGGATTTGTGTTTCTGCAAAACGAATTAATTGTTCTGATATGAACAGGTTGGTGCTCCTGCTCGTGTTGGTCTGGTTGCACCCATTGATGTGGTTGTTCCACCAGGCAACACTGGGCTTGACCCATCACAGACCTCTTTCTTCCAGGTACAGTCACTGTTTTTGGAAGTTGTGTTCTATTTCATTCCATGTGCCTACATGTTGTAGTTGGTGCTGAGTTTTGATCATAGCTGTTTTACGTTTTAGGTGCTCAACATTCCGACCAAGATTAACAAGGGTACTGTTGAAATCATCACTCCTGTGGAGCTTATCAAGAAGGGTGAGAAGGTTGGCTCTTCTGAAGCAGCTCTTCTTGCCAAGCTTGGAATTAGGCCCTTCTCATATGGTCTCATTGTCCTATCTGTTTATGACAATGGCTCTGTCTTTAGCCCTGAGGTCTTGGATCTCACTGAGGAAGACCTGATTGAGAAATTTGCTACTGGTGTCTCCATGGTTACTGCTCTGTCTCTTGCCATCTCGTACCCAACTCTTGCTGCTGCACCACATATGTTCATCAACGCATACAAGAACGTCTTGTCTCTTGCAGTTGCAACGGAGTATTCTTTCCCTCAGGCTGATAAAGTGAAGGAATACCTGGCGGTATGCAATCGTCTCTTTTACCTGGTGTATTATTTTTCAATTGCCATAAGAGAATGAGCTAAATGTTATTGTTGTATGTCATCCAGGATCCAAGTAAGTTTGCAGTTACGGCTGCCCCTGTTGCTGCTGCTGCTGCTGGTGCAGCTCCAGCCGCTGCTGCTGCGGTGGAGGACAAGAAACCAGAACCTGAAGAAGAGTCGGATGATGATATGGGATTTAGTCTCTTCGACTAAGGTTGGATTACTTGTCATAGTTTGTTCGGTAAGACTTATTTGGTTACAATAGTCTGCTTGGATTATTTCTCTTGTTTCTTTGTGTACTTGGATCGCTTTTAAGTTTGGAGAATCTTAAGTTTTTATAATATTTGGTAATTTGAACTCATTTTCTGTTTCTTTCATATACCACCATCGTTTCACTATCACTGCTCTTTGATGAATACTGGTCGATTTCGCTTAATTGTTACTGTACAATAATCCATTGCTTACAATTGTCACTCTCTCGCCGTGTCGGGACACACCTTCTCCGTTGGTTTGATAGGTTACGAACCCGTATTTCTTCATTTTACATTCGAGAAAGAATCCGCTTCTTGAAAGTGATCTCTCCTATTTTGTCATCAGTCAAGCAGACATTTAAGATTTAGAGTGGTGATATTGCTCATCCTTCTCATTCAAACAATAATCCCTCCTTGGCCGCTTCATCAAATCCAATGAATCATCAAACCTTGTCGCCACCGCCTTAATCTCGCTATCGGTTTCATTTATTTTCATTTTCGTCTAATCTAACTTTTAACCGTTTCCCTGAGTTTTTGCCATTTAAGCTATTCTCAAGTAAAAACTAGAATTTTTCTTCGCTTTCGTTGTCCTGAAAAGAATTCAACCTTCAGTCAATATCAAACCCTCTCCTCAAGGAATTGTGCTATTGTCACACGACTTGGAATTGTTGAGAGATTAAATGAAGAATCTTTGCAATACTAGATTGAGCTTTTGGAGCATCATCTTCCTTGGTTTGCGTTGCTAAAGCCGGAATCTCTTACCTGAGTATTGCACAGCATAAAGAAGCCGCTTTTGTGGACAAAAACAAACAGCCCACCACCTCTCGATCCTTTCATATCTCACAAGCTTTTACCATTTTTTTCTCTAGAAATAAAAATAGAGCTAAAGAGCCTTTTGGGGATATCAAATTATAATAATGTGTGTTAGCTTAAGGACTAAATTTATTAGTATATTAATATTATTAATTGTTTTATCTGCAGTTAACTTTTTTTAATTTATCTTAAAAGATTATTTGGTAACACACGAGATTAAAAATTGTGGGGAATATCTTAATAGTTATTTTCTAATTTTTTTATTAAAAATTTATCTTAATTTATTGAATTCAATTATTTTATAAGATTCATGTATCTCAGAAGTATATATTTATTCAAATTTGGATTTGGATATGTAATATGGATTATAAATGAATTTAAGTTTGAATACAGTAATGTAGAATTAAATTTATGTATTGACAAAGCATAGGATGCTTTACACCTACGTAGGATGCTTTTGGAACCGGTGAATTTCTTTATAAGAAAAGGGTAGAAAGAAAGTAGTCGGATCAAAATTAGAATATAATATTATTAAGCAGACTTTAATTTAAACTAGTTAAAGACGGATCTATTTGGCATAAATCAATTTTACAAGGTAAGTTGTCATGTTGTAGTTGAATTAGGAACTCGTAATAGCAGAGGATTGGTTTTATAATTCTCAAGTGCCCATGCATTCTTCCATCGGAAGTTCAAAACTTCGGAATTCTAACATTATGGGGTTTGAACTAATTACGGAACAAAACCCGGTAGCGTAATGTCCTGATTTTATTTGATTTTGTCCGACAACGTCTTTGTTGGTTGCATATTAAAAATCAGTTACCCCTACTACTCCAAAACTTTTGAGCCAAATGTTCTTTTGTAGGAAGTTACAATTTATATGAAAAAGGTGTTTGGTCTGTACTTTTTAGAGGTGCTTCTCCATCCAAATGAGACTGAAAATTATTGAAATTTGTCGCTGAAACTTGTGCATTTTGTGCTGTATTAAGAAAAAATATTTATTAATATTTTATATCATTGTAAGTGTATGTTGGTGTATTTTTCAATAAAATAAAAATCCTATATTGATGTTCATAATTTTTTTTTTTTAAAAAAAAGAACTAGAAATACTAAGACCTAATCATCATCGATGATAGGAAACTTTGACCAATTTTGGTGCTGAGAAGGTTTGTATGTTTTTTTAAGAAATATGAAAAATGGAAGAACAAAATTCTAAGATTAAATTAATATGTTATCTAAAATGTAGAACTTAATTTAAAAGTTAATCATTTTTATTAACGTGTCATGTCATTAAAGTAATGAGAGTTAATGGCTAAATGATTAAATTGTAATAAATTGATAACATAAAGATTAAAATATGACTTTTAAAATTTTAATAATCAAAACAAGACAATAAAAATAAATAAGTTTTTCCGAACAAGAAGGAAAAGGCTTTACATGATTGTTGAGCCGATTATTTTTTGGGTAAAGTACACAAATAGTCATATAATTATAAGGTGTTGTTTAGTTGAATCTTTTACAAAATGATTCTTGACTATAGGATGTTGTTTTATCTAGTCCATTGACTATTAAAAGTTAGATAATGGTCATAAGACTATTCATATATTTCAAACTCATCATTTTTCGTTGAAAATTGGACAATCGTCTGAACTGGACGTTAAATTGTTGATTGAAATACGATAAAATCTAATCCTATGGTAGTTTGAGTTGTATTTTGTGGATTGACTCTCCATTTATATTATGTTGATGAGTCAGTACTTGAAATATTATGACACCAAATCGTAACTTGAAAGTAATAGTGGTGCATGTAGACATCATTAAAATATAATTTTTCTCAATCTACATATTAACGTTCAACTTAAAGGACTGCTATTTTTTAAACGAAAAAAATAAAAGTTTAAAATACGTAAATAGTCGAGCGATCATTTTGTAACTTTTAATAACCAAATAACTCTACAAAATAATGTTTCATAATCAAATGATGATTTTGTAACTTTCAAACAAAATAATACCCTATAGTTAAAATTCCCATTTATATTCTTTATCCTTATTATTATTACTTACGTATCAGTTTTTAAAATTTTTATAAAAAATAAATAAATATATATCCAGAATTCCATGTTCCTATATGTATCCACAAGGCATGACTTGACTTTCCTACATTGTTTTATTATAAGAAAACCATATTCAACCAATTAAAAAACGACAACCGACATGCATTCAATGGATTATAAATAGATTATGATTTGACTCAAAACCATGAATCAAAAGTATTTGGATAAAAAGTTGGTCTCATAACATTGGTCAGGCTAAAGTTTGGTGCGCTACAAATCACATAAAATTTGCATTAGGTCCAAAGTGCCTTTTTCTTGTGGACTGTGATTCATAATTTGAATGACAAAAACAAGTGGATGCCCGGACTTTCACGTATTTTCTATAATAAATATTTTTTTCGAGAATAGAATCGATAAAGTTGATCACTGGCCTAGCTGTACATAATTAAATGTGTGGTTGAAATATAAACAGAGGATGGCTTTAATTGGTTTGAGATATTGTAATATGTGTTTGTATATATATATAAATCAAACGGTAAGTGTATCATAGTAAATCATGTATTATATTTTGGTTTTTTAGTGACAATTTATATATTTTTTATTAATATGGAATGAGTACAAGATAATACATGTTCAAAGATTCTTAAATATTTGATATTGAACGTTCATATCCCTAAAATATATTGTGTTCAAATCTAAAACTTTAAGAAATAATATTAATTCCTTAATCACTGAAGTCATTAGTTTGAGCATTTGTTTACCTCCTTAATAGATTAAAGTGATCATTCCATTAATTTTTTTATATTTTTTTTATCGTTAATGATTAATATAGTATTTATATATATATATATATGTAAATGACATAAAAATAATTGATAACCGAAATAATAATAATAAAAATTAAGGGAATAAAAACTAACTTACCCATCATATATTATTAACCAAAGAGTTAATTGCATTACATATCCCCAAAGTATGTCTCTCATTTTAAATTGGTCTCTAAACTTTTAAATATTTCAATTTCATCATTTAGTTATGACTATCATTCTAAATTAGTCTTCAAATATTTGAACATTTCAATTTCATCCTCAAACTATCACCTTCATTCTAAATGGGTCTCTAAACTTTTTGAATGTTCCAAATTCATCCCAGACTATACTTGTATACTAATCACATCTCTTGTTAATAAAATCGTTAGGTCAATTTATATTATTATGTGTTCGAAAAAAAATTAGGTTAAACTATGTTTGAAAGTAATTACATATTTGGGTGAATTTGGGGATAAAATTGGAATATTCAAAATTTTATAGACTATTTTAGAAAGTGAGTCGTAGTTTAGGAATGAAATTAGAATATTTAAAAGTTTAAAGATTAATTTAAAATGATATTCATAATTTGATAATGAAACTAAAATGTTTAGAAGCTCAATAACTAATTTAAAATAAAACATATAGTTTAAAGACATATGATGCAGCCAACTCTTAACTAAAAGTAACCGAGAAATATTCTAACACTCCAAATATATTAAAAGAATATATAAAAATAAGAATTTAATTACTTTTTTGAGATTTCAAGTGTTTAATTATTTGATAGTTTTTCTTTATAATTATAAATAAAATATTATTATGACATTATCTTTTCGCTCTATTATATTTTCAGAATGAGGACCAAAGTGTAATATAATATACAATATAAGTATTATTATGACACTTTTACCAAATAATATAATATTGCACATTTAATTTAAGATTCTAATATATTTAATAATTCTAGTGATAATAATGCTTACATTAGAAAAAGTAGACATTAAGTGCACACATAAATTATTTATTTTATATTCAATGGACGTGGACAGTGGAGGTGTGCGCTGAATTTTCAACATTGGATGAGTTTCTCGAGTTTACTTAAATATCATGGTTGGCTTGAAACTATATAGAATTCAATCAATTTGATTTTAAAATTAATAAATTTATATTTAAATCATTCGAAAATATCAATCATTTAAACTTATAAATAAAATAAAAATTTGAACCCAATACCAAAACTAATTTTGAACTGAATTTTTAATTATCTATTTTTATTTCAACCCCCACGCAAACATAATGATTATGTTTAAATCATGCTTAATATTACTATTTTTCCTATTTTAATAATTTGTTGTTAAAAATTAACTGCGATC